GATTTAAAGAGGTAAAATGTCTGAGAACATATGGGGTAGTTGTTGGTTTTAGGGAAAGTTTGTATTACATAACTAAGAGCTACCCTTCTTACACTCCAGTTTGTTGTGTGAGAGTTGGTAAATGTAATAAACAGAAGCATTACCACAGTTTTGAACCGAGATAAACCCTGCAGTATAATAAAGCGTCACTCAGGCTTGTGTAACAAGTAACAGTATCGTTACTTCAAAAGTCAAACAGGGCAAGAATATATGCAACAGTCTCTCTGAACTCACAACTTCCCAACTTCCCAACCTGCATCTTCTAATAACCAGCATTACTTCTTATACATTGATGTTGAGCAATCTTTGAACTGAAAAGTAATGTGCGTATTTTTTTTTCTGTGTCAGGAGCAATTTGCGAAACTTTAAGTTGCATCTGGTGTGAAAGAATTGGCCATCTGCAAGGACATTGTCCAGGGGACACCTGGATGTTTTGATGTTTTACCATCCTAGTGGGAGGCTTCTCTCATGTCATCGCATGGGGAGCTGGAGCTGATAGAGGGAGCTCATCTGTGCTCTCCTCGGATTTGAACCTGTGACCAGTCCTGCCGGCACAAGGGTTTAACCTATTGCACCACCGGGGGCATAGATATTGATGTATCTTCGCAATACCAGGCAGAGCGTGTTACCCAGGCAGAGCGTGTTACCCAGGCATGGACAAACTCAGGCCTGCAGGCCAAGCACAGCTTCCGATCCCTGTCTGCCTTGGCCCTCCTTTCAGCATGCAGACGCAGCAGCTCACTGCATCCCCAGGCTGAGAGGGTTGGGAGGGCGAGGCAGAGACATGCTGCTCTCGATAGTCCAGTTTTGCCATATCCTTTCAGCCTCTCCTTGCATACTCTTAGGGGACGCTTGAATCACGCACCTTTCTGGGATGCATGATCCAAACCTGGTTGAAAAACAGAAACTACTCTTTATTTAGCTTGCAATAGTTGAACACTAGACGGTGCTGAATTGACAGATATAGGTCAATAGAATGGACCAGGGATCGAAAGTGCTGTAAATGGATATAATTAGGAGCAAGTAGCTGAAAAACGAGTCACTAAAAGGCAAAGGAAGTCTATATCTTTAGTGATGCCATTTGTCCCTGATTAAAATGCTACCATATACTTTGTGACCTGTTCATCTTCTGTATACAGGGAAGGTAAATGTCCATGTATACATCTGCACTAGAAATGTGAGGAGAAAATACCCCCCCCCCCCCAGTTCTCTCTGGTTATTATATCTGATGAATATCTAGAATCTAGTGCTACTCCCAACTTGTAATACACACATATTTTGTTGGAAATAGCAACCTTCTACAAGCCTCCTATACTAGTTGTTATGTATATAATTGTGATTGCCTACTATATTGCATGTATATTTTGATATGCAGTTTCCCCTTGCCTCTATGTTTTTTGAAATTGTGGGAGGGACTACAGATCATGTGACCAGAACTGGGACTATTCAGACTGAGACTCCATTTTAGAAGTTTGTTTACATCTGAAGCAGTACAGTCAGTATCAGAAGTCAGTAGTGCCAGTATGCTGCAGGGTGTAGTCAGTCTGTATTGAATCAATGTTCAGTAATGTATTACAAGGAAGGGAGTGTTAGTCTGTATGCAACAAAGGAGAGACAGAAACAGAATGTTTTAGAGAACTGTTTCAATTCTCAACCAATAAGAAATGTACCTGTATGCTGAAGTTTGTAAGTAAACCAACTATCCTCAGTTCTTGTGGGTTTTTTCGGGCTATATGGCCATGTTCTAGAGGCATTTCTCCTGACGTTTCGCCTGCATCTATGGCAAGCATCCTCAGAGGTGACCTCACCTCTGAGGATGCTTGCCATAGATGCAGGCGAAACGTCAGGAGAAATGCCTCTAGAACATGGCCATATAGCCCGAAAAAACCCACAAGAACTGAGTGATTCCAGCCATGAAAGCCTTCAACAATACATTAAACCAACTATGTTACTTTTAACACAGACTACTTATTTTTGGTCTCTTGAGAGTATGATTTAAAAGCAATATATTTTATGGGAGAGAAGATGTTTTTGGGCAATTGAAATAACACTTCTGAAGATCTGCTATATATTTTGTGCATTAGCATATCTTCCTAATAGTTCAGAGAGATAACCAGGTATAGTCTAACAACTGAGAAACCTAATTTGCGTTGCATGAATACTAGTGGATATTTACCACTAAGGTGAAGATTCACTCAAACGAGTATTCAACTCTTCTCAGGAAGATCATACTTTACAAAAAGGTTATAATTATTCCAAATAGCATGAATGCCAATTAATCTCCAAAAAGATCACATTTCCAAAAAGTTACGGAGATTTCTTGTTTCCCAAAAGGTTATGATCTCTAAAAGGTCATGCCTTTCCGAAATATTTAAGATTAATTATACATTGCATTTATAAGGTACTCTCAGAAGCTCTGAAGAAAGTCGCTTATCTTTTAAATACTCATGGTGCATTAAAATGCCAAATAGAGCCATTTATTCCCCGCTGACCTATTCCTTAATTTCATCTGTATCAAATTCTCTTATCTTGCATTTCTGCCACCCAAATATTTGTTATGCTGGCAAGGAAACTCAGAACTTAATGAGACCATAGGCCACAGTGGATGTGCCAAAAGTCCTGCAACTGAGAGATAAGTGCAAGGAAAGATAGAATAGTTAAGTTGTTAGTCATCATTCATGGGAATATGCTGCTCTGCATCACATTCATACATACAAGCCTTTTCTCATGTGAAAATGTACTTTGGTCAATTTAATATAACTAGTTAGTACCCATGACCAAACTAACAGAATGTCCACAAAATGCTGTACAAAGGGGACTACCAATAGTTGTAATTTTATAATTTATAATTCCTGACCATCAATTTGATACTTTTGGAGGGGTCTGGCATTATTAAAAAATGCTTCATGAAGGGGAATTTTGAAAAAAAAATTACAAAAAATAACCTGTGTTCTCAGGGTGGGGATGCGAAGGTGCGAAACATGCTAGGACAAGACAGTCTGTGCCTTGGGTGTTAAGAATGCAAATGAAATTTTGATAACGTGGATTTAAACCAATGTGAAATGCCAAATCCTCCTGGCATTTCACACGAGAACACACAAGCTCTGCAGTTTCCCTCAGGCAACTTTGTAGAAAATCATTTTCTCTCCACCCAACTGCCAAGGCGCAGGTGTGTAAAGTTATAATGTACCTTGGAGACTCTAAAGGTGTTGCTGGTAAAAATAAGTGCTCATGGCCTAGATCCATAAAAGTAAAGGGCCAGTGTGATTGAAGCTGTGGGTAGACCAGACTTGCCTAACTTGGTTCTTCCAGATGTTAGACCTACAATTACCTTCAGCTCTAGTATCCCAATTGGATGGACATCTGTTGGGGGTGCTTTGAATGCAATTTTCCTGCTTCTTGGCAGGGGGTTGGACTAGATGGCCCATGAGGTCTCCTCCAACTCTATGATTCTATTCTGATTCTATGAATTCACATCTTTGAAGACTCCTTGTTGAACTGTGAATGTTTGTGCCACTATCACTTACCCAAATCCTGCATGATAAGAGCTGAATGGAAAAGCAGATTTTACAGGTTCAGTTGTCCATCACAGTTGGGATGGTCCTTAATCTAGTTTTGAATTTTGGAACAAAATAGTATTTTCATAGGGACAGAAATGTTTTCCTTTCATTGCTTTGCCCTTACCATGTTTGAGGATTATTCACATAGACATTTGATGTAATTTAAGACCAGACTCAATTAATTGGATATCATGACACACAATCATTCATATAAGGTTATTCTTGATGTTACAATGTAAGTGGAAGTGAGCAAAACCAAATGTGACGGGCAGCAAGAATATTGGAAAATGAATGTTTTCATAGCCTTTGGGGGGGGGGGGGAGTCAACAAGACAAAACACTACTTTTGTCATAATCATAGAATCATAGAGATGGAAGAGACCTCGTGGGCCATCCAGTCCAATCTCCTGCCAAGCAGGAAAATCACATTCAAAGCACCAACAGATGGCCATCTAGCCTGTTTAAAAGCCTCCAAAGGAGCCTCTAACACAGTCTGGGGCAGAGAGTTTCACTGCTGAACAGCTCTGTTTGGAAGTTCTTCATAATGTTCACGTGTAATCTCCTTTCCTGAAGTTTGAAGCCATTGTTCCATATCCTAGTTTCCAGGGCACCAGCAAACAAGCCTGCTCTCTCCTCCCTATGATTTCCCCACATATTTATATACAGTCATCATGGCTCCTCTCAACCTTCTCTTCTGCAGGCTCAACATGCCTGCAGAAGGGGCTCAACATGCCTCATAGGGCTTGTTCTCGACTCTTGCTCATTTTAGTTGTCCTTCTCTGGACACATTCCAGTTTGTCAACATCTCCCTTCAATTGTGGTGACCAGAATTGGACACAGTATTCCAGGTGTGATCTGACCAAGGCATTACTTCCCAGGATTTAGACACTTTAATCCTATTTATGGCAGTCAAAATTCCATTGGCTTTTAAAGGTGCCGCATGACATTGTTGGCTCATGTTTAACTTGTCCATGAGGCCGCCAAGATCTTTTTCTCACGCACTGCTATCGAGCCAAGTACCCCCATTCTGTATCTTTGCATTTCATTTTTTCCCTCTAATTCAAGTATCTTGCATTTGTAGATGAACTTGATACTCATCTACTTGATCCGTCAGATGTATTTTAAAAATGAAGGCTCCTCTCTGAGTCCCCTTCGGGGTGAGAAGGGCAGCATATAATTGTCGTAAATAAATAAATAAGATGGGCTAGTATGCCTTCATTAACTAGGTCAATGGTTGCTAATCCTTAGTTTTATTTGATTACAGTTGGGCTGGGATCAGTGAAGTTTTACTAACTGGAAAGAGTTTTGAATGTTCAAAAACAGGAGTGTATTAGATACCTTTTTAAGGAATAGGATGCTTCACAATGCACACAGGCAAGACCCGAACAGACCATTGAAACGGTTTCATTATCTTAAAACATATTCTAGTTTATTACATCAAAAACCAATAAAGAGACCAAATAGTTTTTAAAAAACATTAACAAAAAACCCATGACAAATCTGTAAGCAAACATCAGATAAGGAGACAGACATAAAACCTGGTGTTTTTACTTAGAGGAACCTTTTTTTTTTAAAGAAAAGAATTCTGAGATGTCTGTGGAGGGCAACCCTGAAGCAGAATTTCCAGTTTCAGATTCAAGAGAAAACAAATAACATTTATGATGATGCGAGACATCTGTAGCACTTGTGTCAACTGAAAGGGTTGTCTGAAAAGAACAAATTGCATGGTGCTTTCCAACTGTGGCAGAATGTGGGAGGGGAACAGTTTGACAAGCTTCAAACTACTGTCTTGGATTATCTTGCACCACGCCTTTGAATCAAGTCATTCAGATCAAAGAGTACAGGGGTGGGGGAACCCTAAGAAGGATCACATGTTGCTTTGAAGAGTCCCAAGGCAGAACGAAACTCTGTGGATGCAATTGCATGTTGGCAGAAATGGCTTGGAGTCATGCGCCTCAAGAGAAACTGCTTTCTCTGTCTTTTTCGAGTTTGCATGAGAGAAAATGCTGCTGCATTTAAAAAATGGTGACCCTTTAATAATATTTAGCTGAAATCCTTTGGTTTTTCCCATTGCACTATTACATTATCACTATTTGTTTTTAAGTATGGAAGGTGGGCAACATTTCCAGTGTGAGAGCTTTTCTTTTACAGACTAGTTTTGGTTTGGTATTGTGATATGGCCTAAGGGCTAATTAATAAAGTTTACTATGTTTAAAGACTAGAGTCCAGGAAAGTTGGATTTTTTTGGTCAACAACTTCTATAATTTACCAGGAGCCATGACTTGTGGGGTTTCCACTTCTAGTCCAAAATGTAACTTTTCCAATTTTTGTTACAGACCCTATAGAGGAGGAAAAGGCAGCATGGAAAATGCTAATGGTAATTGTAATAGCAAAACATGGCGACTAATTTTGATCCCTATTTATCTTTATTACATGCTGTTCTTCTGTGAAATACATTCTATCATGACACTATTGTATCTGTATTTGTATGTATGGACGTGTGTATGTGTAGATAGGTAGATAGATAGATAGATAGATAGATAGATAGATATAGTCCTGGTTAAAATCCAAGTTTTCCAAAGGGATTTTGAAAAAGGAGGCAAGTAAACATTAGACCAGTGAACTTAGCTTTCAGTATAATGGATACAGGGAAACAATTATTAGAAAAAAATATGACATATTTAATTCTGTGGAGAAGAATTCGTGATTTCCACAAATTAAAAAACAGATTGGAGTTCAAGTCCGGAATATTAGTTCCCAAATTATATGGATTAGTGTGAGTTTTGGGGAATTGCACCTCTACCACCAGTTCTGAACTCTTAGCCCCTAGATGAGAACAGGAAGCAAAACAAATCAACATAATACAAAAGGGAATTCTTTGGGGCTCTATAAGAGTTTTCTGAGGGAAATAAACACAAGAAAAGACAACAAGCCAAAGAACAGGGCTGTTTCTTTGGGACAGATATGATGCTGGTCTTCTGAACTGCAGCAGAATGAATGTTGGGATCCGGTTCCATGCCAGCTGGTCACTTAGAAGCCTTAGCTCATCCCTAGACATTTGAATCCAGCGCCATCACAAATATTTCAAATACTATAAATGACCAATATTTATTTTGGTGCTGGAAAAGTAGAAAACAACAATACCAACAGCAATTTACAACTTATTCTTTCCTGTGCTGTCAATTTTTTAAAAAGGAAGAGAGAGATACATGGAAAGGGGAGGCTATGCATTTATTCTTTCTTTTCAATGTCTTCTGGAGCTACTGGGTCAGCCGCGGGTTCTTCAACTGTGGCACTGTTGCTTTCTGAGCCAGTGTTGCTGTCACTTGTTCCTTCCTCTGCCATGCTCTCAACGCCTTCTTGTCCACTTTCCTTATCTTCTGGCGTGGATGTCCCTTCACCATTTTGCTGGCTCTCAAGGGGTTCTTCAGGAGGAGGTTCTTCTGCATAAAAATATTGCCATTGTCAACGAGATTCTTTTTGTCATCACTGCTCACTTGAATTTCTTAAGAAAACTTTCCAGACATAGTACAATATGAAGGAGTTTAAAGCCTGCTTTTCAAGGCATTTTGTCTATCCAGCCAATGAAGAAAGTACATTGTAAAGTATTGTTTCTTTATTCTATCTTTAATTCAAACAGTTCAAATAGAATTTTTTCCTGGTGGGCAAGGAGTAAAGGCATTGGTTGGTGTGAAACTAAGACACCTCTAAAGAGAAAGGACCCCTTACATGACGGTATCTTCCACTTTGGGGAAGTTTCACAGGATTAAAACCAAAACCCAAATGACTAACTAAAGAAAGGTTTCTGCTCAGGGTGTTTCTGCAAGATTTCTCCAAGTTTATTTGATGGAGCCATAAAACACATTTAAAGAACAATTATTATTTAGCTAAATTGTTCCTTCTACTTTGCTTTGTTAACTGAGTTGAAAACCTGCTTATGAATGCTGTTACCCATTTTTAGCTAAATCATACATTGTCAAAGATGAGCAGAACCTTAGTTATTCAACCAAGGAGGAACTCAGTCTTCCTCATACCTTTGATTCTCAACAGCATTTCCAATGTAAGCACATAATGACTGGAACTTTATGACAGATAACATGTTCAAATACTCCTCACCTGTATCTCATGGTGTTGTCTTGCTGTGTGCTCAAAAGTTTTTGTTTTTTTTACTTATGGCAACCCTAAAGTAAGTAATCTTGATTTTAAGTGTATTTTACAGGGGAAATTAGGTCATCTTCATCCCTCCTCACCTTTAGAAAAAAGTTAAAAATGAGGATGTGGGACCAGGCCTTCGGGTAACTAAGTGGACAATGACAATAACAATATTGACAATGGCTTGGAAATAGATTATGGATAAGTTTGATGGAGTATCCAACTACAGTTTTTGTCTAATAATGGCCACCAGAGTGGTAATTCTTAGTAGATTTTAATTGTGTTGTTTTAATGTTTTTAACTATTTATAATTACTAACTGTTTGTTTTCATTATGTATATACTGAGACATCGAATTGCTGCCGATTGGAAGCTGCCCTGAGTCCCCCCCAGAGGGTTGAGAAGGGCGGGGTACAAATATTCGAAATAAATAAATAATATTATATTTCAAAGTTTTTTACCACGCTGTACTATTTTTTAAAACTTTTGTATTGTGCTTTTACAACTTGACTAAAGTATGGGATTGTTATCTGCCTTGAGTCAGATAACAATCCCATACGTAGAGAAAGGATGGGTATAAATAAAATTAATAATAATAATAATAATAACAACAATACTCCTCTATACTGGGTTTTAAAAAAAACAAAACAACTCCCAGAAATCCCAGCCAGTTCACCAGCTGCTAGGATTTCTGGGAGTCTAAGGCCAAAACATCTGGGGACCCACATGTTGAGAACCACTGCCCTAAAAGGTAACTATATTAGTTGCTTCTGAAAAATGGAGGGTTGAGAAATTACCTTACAACAAATGTAGCTATAGCTGCCATTAAACAATTGGGGGCTTCGAGTTATAAAGGTAACAAGTGGCTTTTTTAAAGTAATATTTCCAAAATAACTGCCCACTAATGACCAGTACCTGATAGCAACTCAAACACATCTGTAATAAAGCATTTTTAAAGGATAGCAAAATTTGCAGGAAAATTATTTGAAGGAGGCACGCAAAATTATTAGATGTAGATAGACACCAACATAGAATAAAAAAAACAATGGAGACATCAAATGCTAGAAAAAAGTCATGTGTAGCTTAAAAATAGCACACAAAAATTATGAAGAACTCTGAAGATCAATTATCTTTTAAAAAAAACTCTACTAATATTACTCCTGTGTCCCCTGTTCCCACTTCCATTGTGGCTATACTTAATTTAAAATTCTAATCAAAAAGTTTACCTGTTTCCATGGGAGTTGGTCCTTCTTCTTTCTTCTCCTCTGTTTTGTTAGCCGTTTGCTCTTCTTCAGGCCCTGTGCTGTTCTGATTGCGTTCTGCTAGCTCTGCTGCTTCTTTCTCCCGTTCTTCCTGTCGCTTACGGGCCTGTTCCTCTGCCTGAGCAATTTCTGCAGCAATCTTCTCCATGTCCACCTCTACCTTCAGACTGCATAACTAGTGATGAGAGCAGAAAACGTTTTCAGTTATGAATCCAGAGTATCCATCAAGTTATATTACACTGGTCAATACACATATTGGTGCCTCAAATGTCAGCCCTGTTCCTGGGTATATTTGATCTACTGATTCTAAAAATGTGCTCCCATAGAAAATCATGATAAACATATCTAAGAAACTAGAGCTGATGTGGACTATCCTATGCACTTTTTCTGAATCAGCGTCCCAAATAACTCAGGAACAGGCCTATAATTCTAATCTCAGAGTTCTAGCCCTGTCTCTAGCATTAGTGTATATGTGGCATTTTATCTTTCAGCCTTGTGTCTCTATCCCATACAATATGGAAAGAATATGAGATGCTTAACCTGACTAGATCAGAAGTTAATGTCTTATAAATCCTAAATCCAATTGTCAGTGCCACCAAATTAGTGGTAACCTGGTATATTAACACCTTATTAAGTTCAATTATTCATGGGTCTACTCTAATTGGGATCAACAACAGCATTTTGACCCATCTATTTGGAGAGCTATTTTAGTACCACCAACTGCTTCTGAATTGCAGTCCAACTTTCTACAGCCCACACATAGGTTTATTATCTTTGTGGAAACTTACCAGCTCAAATGAAAAAGACTAATGTTGTCTGGCCTATCTTGGACCTACTATTCCTTGTGCCAACTACTAATCACGAATTATTCCTTCCCAATATTTACAACAGAAAACAAACAAATGAAAATAATTTTATAAAGGGGCGGATGTATAACAGCATGGTTTTTCTCTTGACCACTTCTAGCATTTCATTTTTTTAAAATTTCAATGTTGACAAAGAACATGCACAAAATTATGGTGGGATACATGAGTTTAATCATTTTTCTTCTGAGCTCTGCAGAATCACAGCTCAGACTCAACACACACATCACCCATCTAGATGAGGAGGCCTTCTAGAACCTTCTAGGCCCACAATATTGGTAGAAAGGCTTTGGAGGCACGTACCCTCTTCAGCTCATTGTTAAAGGATTCTGTGCTCTCCAAAAACTTCCGCTTCTTGTCTTGATGGCGTTCCTCTATCTGCAAGAGTTCTGCTTCTAGTTTACGCTATGTATGGAGGAGATATTGCAATACAATGTGAACAAAAAGCTGTAAAAACATGGGAGCGCAAATGAAAATTACTTCTATATTTGTCTGTAAGGTGGAGAATCAGGCTAAAATATTTTTTTTCACCCAGGCATTTAAACATTTTCTATAAGAACTTTTTAAGTATAAAAGCAGTAAAGCATTTTTTCAGTAAATGAAACTTAACACTACCACAAACATAAACTCATTTAACTGGCACAATCCATCCCAAGACAAGACTGACACAAATCCATCCCAAGACAACTGCAAAAAGATACGTACATCTGAAAGCAAGCTCTGACTAAAAATATGTTACATTTGTTGCACAGAGCATTCCTTAATTACTTCCAACAAAATAAATAGGGGCAATCCCCAAGTTACAAACAAGATAGGTTCTGTAGGTTTGTTCTCACTTTGAATGTTTAAGTAAGCCAGATCAAGTACATTTTTAAGTGTAATTCTAGCCAAATAGCTTTGGATAACATAGGGAAGGGTTAACACTGTGGGGCTTGTTTTGCTGTCTGTATCCCTGTTCAGAACATTTCACCTTACTTTCTGTCCCTGTGAGAATTGGATTTTGAAAAATTTGGCTGTGAAACAAGTATTGGCGAGAAAGCTTCAGTTGAGATACCTTTTCCCCATAACTATCAGGAATGAATTTCCCTTCTGAGGGATTGTTTTCTCTCATTTCCTGTTGTCCCATCTCTGTTCTTAACTATGAGGCTTTTGTTATTTGGATGTTTGTAACTCGAGGACTGTCTGCATTTTGGTAGTGCACAAATCTCAAAGGCTACACAAATTGAATACAATAAGATTTTGATCCAATGATTATATACAGCGGTAACATCTTCAAATGTATACACGATCACTTGCACAGTTAGAAGAAGCACTATCTTGCAAGCTATCCTATTATCAGTCCTGAGTGTCCTTACATCATTTCCAGCTGTGCATTAAGAGGAAAAACAAAGATACACATTGTAGCTATTACATATTTGTGACCATTTGTGCCAGGAGCTCCACCAGGATTCTGGACTTTTGTTTTGCTCACATTTATGTGATCCAGACAACTTTAAATTTAATTATAATCTGTCCGAATGTATCTCCCCTTATGAACCATTGAGGACTTTAAGATCATCTGGGGAGGCCCTGTTCTCGGTCCCGCCTTCGTCACAAGCACGTCTGACGGGGACGAGACAGGGCCTTCTCAGTGGTGGCCCCTCAGCTATGGAATGCCCTCCCTAGGGAGATCAGATCTGCTCCCTCCCTCTTGACATTTCGGAGGCAAGTTAAAACATGGCTATTTGAGCAAGAGTTTACAAATACAGAGTAGCTAATATATGAAATTGAATGACCTGACAATGGAATTGGACAATGCTTGAGAATAATGAGATGCAGATGATGTTGTTTTTGCTGCTTTTGTGATGTCTTATACTGTTTAATGTTTTTATCTATATTATGCTTTATGTATACTGATTTGTTGGAAACCACCTTGGCTGAGAAAGGCGGTATACAAATACAGTAAATAAATAAATAAATAAAATCTGTATATATGTTGTCCCTTCAGATCTATTACATTTGAATGGAAAAGCGTTAGATTTAGACAAGTGTGAGGAAGGAAGATTTTTTGGTTGATGGTGTTAATATGGCAGGACAATGCAATTTTGGAGAAGGTAATAAAACAACTGTCATTTAAAGCAGCAGCTAATGTGTATGCCAATCACTTTTGATTCTAAAATATGTCAAAAGAACATTTAGTCCACATATTGAGCAACTAGGGATATTAACAAAGAGGCAAAAAGATAGGCTTTGGCATATACATGTTACTGAAAAGTTCTAATGAAGTGTTTGAAAGAAGCAAATCCGTTCCAGCTGGTTCAAGACTGCAGCTCTGACACAGAGCACAGCGTGTACAGGAATGTTTCAAGAGTCAGTCCACACCTTTTATTGCATTTGATTTCCCAACAGATAATTTCTAAAACACTTGACTGCTGGATCTCACCACTGCTACAAAAGAGAGATGCAGATTGCAATTTCTGTGGGCAGAAACATTCACAGGCCTAACTTGCATGCTCCAAGTACACAAGGAGACTTGGAGGATATTCAAAATATTTTTATTAGAAACACACAAAACGTTTATAAGCAAGGGGTTTTTTTGCCCACCTGAATGAACTTTCAGAACCAAGGGAACAATGTCAAACTGTTCCTATGTGGCAACTCCGTTGGGAGTTGTGGAGTGGAGCAAGGAAAATATATGTAAATCATAAAATAAAACACACACACAAATCCCCCTCTTCTTTTGCTCTGGCAAGTATGAAAAAATAGGAAAAATGAAAGTTTAAAGCAAAACAATGCAGATACTTCAAAGTCTCTTTTCCTGATGATGTCTCAATCTCACCCTGTGCTGGCTCTGAAGAAACCAGTGTATTCGGATCAATACATTAAAGACTGTAATAATAATAATGAATGTGGGATAGTAATGAAAATAGTACTTATTTTATCTACAGGGATCTAAAAAGAGCCTTGCTGGATCAGACTTTGGTTCTAACAAATGCCTGGCCAGCAAAAGCCAGTTTGAAGATAAATGTCTTATATTGCTTCTAGAACATCATTATTTCTAGGGGAAATACTGAAGCTTTCGCCAATTTCACTTTCCTAGCAAAAAAAGGTAAAGGTAAAGGTTTCCCCTGAAAGTAAGTCTAGGCATGTCTGGCTCTGGGGGGGTTGTGCTCATCTCCCATTTCTATGTTGAAGAGCCAGCGTTGTCTGTAGACACCTCCAAGGTCATGTGGCCAACATGACTGCATGGAGCACCACTACCCTCTGCAGAAGCGGTACTTATTGATCTACTCACCCTGTGCCCCGGATTCGAACCACCAACCTTTCAGTCAGTAAGTTCGGCAGCTCAGCGGTTTAACCTGCTGTGACACCAGGGGTTTCCTAGCAAACCCAGGGGTATCTGCCCTTTTAATAGTATGACTTCAGTTATCTATTCTGTAAGCACCCATTCATGATTTGCTAGGACTTTGGTTGTGAGACACTATGGATTGGCATAAGTCGCACCTACACTTTAGACATCACTTTAACTGCCGTGGCTTAATGCTATGGAATCTTGGGAGTTGAAGTTTTATAAGATTTTCATTTTCTCTTCCAAAGGGTGTTGATGCCTCCCCAAACTACCACTCCCAGGATTCCAAAGAATTGAGCCATAGCAGTTAAAGTGATATCAAACTGCATCAATTATTCAGTGTAGATGCACCCTTAGTCTGGGACACTCAGTTGACTATAGGCAGATAGGAAAGATACTAGGAGGAAGGTTAAGGATTTGGAGTAGAATTTCATCTCAGTCTTTCTGAAATCTACACAAAGCAGAGAAGGAAATGTAAGTTTTGAAACTAATTGAAAACAGATAAAGCGGACATGTCAAATGGTTCTAAATTATCACACAACATGGACACTTGTGTGAGACAGAAATGTACCATATACAAAGCCTACTTATGTTTATATTTTTCAGATATGCGAACTTTACCTGGTGAACCATTAAGGACTGAACCTGGCGCTTGAGAACCTGCATCCTAGCTGTGGTGACCACAGATCTGACATCAGGGACTACACTTTCACTCAGGATCTCACTAATTAAGCGGTGGTTTCTCTGGAAACGAGCTGTGGCAGTGTGTTTCATAGAAAACCCATCATCATAATCTGAAAAAAGACATTTGAAATTGAATTAGAGATGATTATAAATACAGCTTTTACCCTGTTAGCACAGGTTAGCTTCATAGTGACCCTACAACGTAACCCTGTATTCTCAATTTTACTGCATTCATACTTCTTTCCCCAAAAGCCCTCGCATTTTCTGAAATCCCAAATGGGAGCGTAAAAAAGCATAATGCCTGGCAGGTACTCAACTGAGTATAACATGTGCAGTTTTTTGATTAATGAAGTATGTTCATTCCCTTTATCTCATTATCCTCACAAAGCAGAGTGGTGTGACTCATCACCCTATTTCACAGTATGGAATACTTGCTTAAGAGCTCACATGGGATATATGTCACCCTCCAACTTGCAGAAACCTCTGGGGGGTTTCTTGCCCCTCCTTATGCTGGCTAGGACTGATGGAAGCTGCAGCACAGAAACATCTGGAAGACAGTCTCCTAAAACATCCAGTGAATAAATGTTTGCACTGAAATTTGGAGTGACAAATATCTGGTTCAGAGTTCATACCGGCAACATTATTGTATGTCTTATAACCAAAGTTTCCTGTTTGAGGCATTCTCTCATTTTCACTGATTGTGTCAATCACACCATGTTCTGATGCAGGTTAATCAGAAGCAATTTCCACTGTATATGGTGCTCATGTTAGTATTGCTGGATTGTAGCCTTGGAAAAACACATGGAGGACAGGTGAAGGTGTGTGAATAGCCCACATACCAGCCTTGAAAAATGCTGGTCTGTCAGACATCCTGCTGATGTCTGACAGACACAGTATGTGATCCCCCTCCAACAATCTGTAGGATTTCTATTCTTTTACCCTCTTACCCTTTATCTGGTTTCCAATACAGGGGTAGAGATGGCTGGAACATTTTTCAAACCTTCTCTAACAGCCCATCAACTCATTGATTCGCCTGCACACAATTTCTGTTGCTTACGGCTATTAACTGCAGGCTTAAATGCCAACTGGATTATCTCTGTTTGAAATGGAACAGATATGTAAGTTTTCTATAAAATCTGATACCAGACAGTGCAAAATTTGCTCCTATTTTTACTGGGGCAGAGGGATTAAAATTTTTGAGAAAATGTGAATGTTCTGCAATGCTTACTTTCCTACCAACCTATTTTACCACCTTTAAAAAACTAAAGCAAGATTAAACCCTTGCTTCATCACTTAGCATATAAAACCACACTGTCTGGCATATTTTTGACATTTAATAAGGTCATTTGAGAAGGAGGAAAAAATGAAAACAAGCCACACATTTTCAAATAAATAAAACAGGTACTAACAGTCTTAAGGAGTTGGCTAGCAGCAAGTAACAAGTTAACAAGTCAACATTAAAATTAAATATTAAAAATGCAACCACTTCAAGAGTATATAATTATCCTCAGCAGGTCTTTCATGAAGGTGGTATCACCTGCTAGTGCAGAATTTTGAATTTAAATGTTGTCATTCTCTAAGTCTATAGATTGCAACATACAGACAAGGTAAAAATCATGTCTAAAAATGTTTCAGTGATTTGAAAGCAAAAAAAAAATCATAAGATTTCTCCCCTAAATTCAGAAAGTTTCCCATTTCCCCAATGGAGAAAGATCCCTCTGTCCCCACCTCCCATTTTTAAAGGACTTTACAAAGGCTTTCAGAATGTCTACTGTATGTCATCTGAATATCTCTTAATAAAGAGAAAATAGTATATACAGAAAAAATATGGAAATTGTTTCAATGAAGCTGGAGAATATTTTGAGCCCTATCACTTATGTTTCTCTTGCATGAGTAAATTACAGCAAACCCACTAAACCCAAGTGTGTAAGGGACTGCAGAAATTCACTTATTAATAGGGGAAACACATCCTGCACATGTTCAGAGATTCTACAAGTATCCAATTTCCAATACTGGAGGAATGAGCCCTGGTAAGAAACACAGGATGCCTATAAGAAATGCTGACACCCAAGACAAAACAGTGCACCATGGATATGAAAATATCATGGGAACTTGAGCTATTTTGAGAGATATAGGTGTCTGGATTGCCTTTAAAAACTTTGAAGGAACAGCAGTAATTGCAATGAAAAAGCTAATGGCTTACAAAGGCCTTGATCTTTATATGTTGTTAGCTTCTAAATAAACAGTTTCTTTCAGCATTTGAAATGCTCTCTCATCCCTGGTCCCCCACCCTATACAGGGTACATATTCTATTCTCTTTCGGTCAGAAACCAGAAAGTTTGGCAGCATCTGATAGTAAAAGCCCAAACAATCAAGAGATGAAAGGAGACTCCATTGCCAGAGAAATCAGTTTATTGTCAACCATGAGCTATCCTCTCATACTTGTAATCTTGGTATCAGTTGCTCCTTTTGATTTATGTGTGCATAGATTTACCCTGCTACCCTAGCACACACAAAGAAAACAGCCTTGGGCCCTGAGGCCACTCAGAAAAGGAGTTAAGATGTGGCTGCATATCTGAAGCCCAAAATAATTTGGCTGGAAATATTAGCATGACCGCCCAAGGAGTCTTCCTCCTACCTTTGAAAAATGAATTGGCAACACTGCTATGGCCTAAGGTGGATTTAGGGCAGGGCAAAGTTGTGAACATTTTTGCTTATCTTATTATACCTCACACATTGTGAGGTTTAACATTTACCATGGAACATCTCTCCGTTTATATGAATATGACAGAATAGCTTATTTGCTTTCTTAGCAGAACATATTCACAGTTAGGTTCCAGGCCAGTTGCAACAAAAAAATCCCATAATAAAGAAAAACAGATGTTTATACCTATCAGTGCATAACTAACATCACAAATAGAAGATAAGGTGGGGCAAATTGTCTTCACGTCCATTCAGCTGAAATAAAAATAAATGTTTGGGACAATTCCTCCTTTCAGATCAATGACAGCACTGACAACATCATTCATTGAAATAAAGAGGACAGGCTGAAAGTAATTAAAACTGATAATGAAGGTTTCGATGACAGCATTGGTACAAAAATGGGCTTTGAGCACAACATATTTTCAATAAATGTTAAATACCAAGACCTATTCATCTATTCACCCATGAGCAATCTAATGTCAAACTGGAAACTGCTTTCAAACATTTGAACTGATACACCCAAAGAGATGGTGAAACACAGCACTTAAGGATGTCAGGGATAGTCTGGAAAGCATTCATGAGAACTCAGAAGGTGGTTTCAAGAAAGCTCAAATGTTTCAACCTCTCCTCTCAACCTCTCACAGGGAGATAAAAAAATATTAAGGGTTTATTGTTCAAGCCTTGTCTTGTGGACTGCTAAGACAAATGAGAAGTATCCTGAGATATTATTTTCGGAGGCAAAATGATATGCATTTTAATTACACTATGTAACACAATTTTTGTCTGTGGCTTATAAATATCATTTCTTAATTGGTTCTATCAGAAAAACATGGAAAAAGTTTATTCAACTGCAAAAGCCGTTTTTTGCGGGACATCCTGCAGCACATTTTGCTACAGGAGAGAATGCCTCTAGAACATGGCCATATAGCCCGAAAAAACCTACAACAACACAGTGATTCCAGCCATGAAAGCCTTCAACAATACATTTTGCTACAGTTTTTCAATGAATATCTCTGAGTCTCAACAAATTCAACATAGTTTGTGGCAGCCACAAAAACGAAGTTTCTGGAGTATAACAACTACTGTGCTTTCAAAATACAGTAAGTACTGCACAATTAAACAGAAAATAACACCTTCAAACAGATCCCCCCCCCCCCCCCCCCCCCCAAATTTTGTTACAGTTTTAAAAAGAAGGACTGCTTAACAGTTCAGCAGACAGAAGGACCAAGAAACACAACATAGCTTTAGATGCAACTATGCAAGGGGACACAAGGCGTAACTACACAGTGGTTGGAACAACTAGGGATTTTAAAAAGAATGTAGGCTCAAACCTACACTGAAAAAACATGCTTTCTTCTCTACTAGGAGGGACAACATGCAGTCTATGGATGACATCAGAGACTCCACCAAAATTTAGTGGCGCAGTGTCAAATTCCAACTCAACATTCATCTAAAACAAGGCATGTAGAGAGCATAGGCCTTATTTTAGAGGGGAATTGTGTTGACCCTTCAACCAAGCAATGCTTTCTAGCCTTACTGTACATACTCATTTCACATATATTTGAATGTACAGATATACTTGGAGTGAGGGCAAAAACTGATTTCACTTCTGACAAGCAGTGTTTGAAGGCACACACTGATTAAGTGTACCAATATGTATGTTTTGTGGCAACATCTCTCTTTGTACAAAATCCTTTCAATTTCACGATCTTGCTGCAGGTAAAACAGGGAGAACTCAGCCCACAGTAAGTCTAACTTGTCTCAGAAAAGTCATATGGATGCTGAAAGAACAAGATTTCCAAACACCCAGATTGAAAGAAATATAATCAGGCAGTGGACAGGTGGAAGAAATTCCCTCAAATAGTCACAGGCGAGTGGAACATGCAATCCTTGCCTGTTCAAATTAGCCCAAAAGCATCCCACCTCTTGGAACTGTTTAATACAGAAACCAACTGATGTAGCATGAGAGAAGTTTGTGCCTTCATCAGCAACTCACTTGAGTTCATTGGACTTGCCTAACTGGATTTGATGAAAAGGGTGTCATAAATACATCTTGTGAGTAATGAACCTAACAGATCAGTCATTACATTTGATAAAAATAGTTGAACATAATTCTTGCCTTTCCAGTGGAACAAAGTGACTTCCACGATTAAGCTTGTATTTTTTATGACAGTGGTTCTCAAGCTGTGGGTCCCCAGATGTTTTGGCCTTTAACTTTCAGAAATCCTAACAGCTGGTAAACTGGCTGAGATTTCTGGGAGTTGTAGGCCAAAACATCTGGGGACCAACAGGTTTGAGAACCAGTGCTATAGAACATCCTTCATTCTGAACTAATCGAATCTTATGAAAAAGTGTCATGGTCTTTGTCCACGTGCTGTGGAGAGGTGCTAATTCTGCTTTCTACGCCCCACCAATAGCAAATGCCTTCCTTTCCCCCACCAAACCAAAAAGCTGATAAGACAAAAGGCTGTTTAAAGGGGCAAATTCAACAAAGATATGCAGCGGACTTAAGAAATCAAACCAAGGTAGACTGCAACTTTTCCAGAAAGCAGAATTTAAAAAACAGTCAGCTTTCTACAGGAGTTAGTGGTAATATCTGGCCCTTATTCTTTGTTTCATATGCAAACAGGCACCTAGAATTTTTCTACTCCTACTTTGCACAAGCTGATGGCAGAACCAGTTTTGAACTTAAAAGCAGTTCATACACCTGTGCTTAATTATTAGTAAAACTGGGCAACGAACATAAATACCCTAGATAAGAAATGGTTTTGGTTGAGGAAATGTCTTGAAGGTTTTCATTGAAAAATGTCACTACCAAGTACCTTTTGGCAAGATGACACAGGGCCCTTCCACACAGCCCTATATCCAGAATATCAAGGCTGACTCCACACTCAGATAACTCAGTTCAAGGCAGATATTGTGGGATTTTCTGACTTTATATTCTGGGACATAGGGCTGTGCGGAAGGGCCCACAACTGTAACCTTAGTGATCCACTCTTTATTGGCAGAAAACTACCATGGTTCAGAGCTGCACTTACCATCTGGGTCTTCAGCAGGCTGGATGCTCATATAAGGTTCACCTTTCTCCATACGAGATTGCCTTTGCCGGCTTTCCTCTTCCAGTGCAGCTTCAGCCCGGCTTTTTGCATTGATGTAGGCAAGGTAAGCAGGTGAATTATGGTAGGCTTTCATTGACTCGTTGTACTCTATCTACAGTTTGATAGACATATATATTTTTAAAAAATGGCAAAGAAGACCATCTCCCATACCCTTGGGAATATCTTCTGACTAAATATCCTTGCAGTAAACAAGGACAATTTCATGTGAAGCAAATATTCGACTGCTCTCTTCTGGAAGGATGGGGTTGCATCTAAGCATTTCGGAGTGTGTCCATATAAAATGAACAGCAAGGGGAACATGATGTTGGGAGGAACTGCAAGAGGGGAGTGTCATTAACTGTGCTTTATTTCCAGGTCTCTTTATGCTTATAGTCGGGGGCAGAGAGGGAGGGCACGCAACCTTGACTCAGGTTTAACTGTACGATTTTGTATGTGTTTGGGTGGGCTCTTTCAAGCCATCCAAGGTATCATGATTCTATTATACTCTCCTTAAAACTCCTGGCAGATTTGGCTTTGCACAGCAAACAGTTGATTCAGTTTTCTTCCCTCAATAATGTTCTCGTATGTAAGCCCGTTTTATCACCTCCTCCAGAACCAGTCTTTTTTAAAATGTATTTTATTTTAGCTTTGTGCATGTGAGACAGACTTCCAGCGTCATTTGGGAGTGAGAGAGGGAGATTTCTTCTGTGTACCTTTTCTGCTTCATATTCATTTAAGTATTCTTGCTTCTCTTCATCAGTGAGGTCTCGCCACATCCCTCCAATGATCTTCCCAATTTCCCATAACTTCAAGTCAGGGTTGGACGCCTTCACTTGGTCCCAGACCTTAACAAAAACATCTGTAGTAAAGCTCCAGCTAACTAAATACTTATAAAATTAAACACATCTTTGTCATTATCACCATCATGACTATGGTCCTTTCAAAAGCAAGCAAGGCAATATCAAGACAGTTATTTTTGACTAAGCTACGTCCACTGTTTGAGCATTTCTCTGGGACAGGAGGACAGAGGTACAATGTTTATCCACTGCCTGGGTCTTATTCTCAGGCATCCTTTTGACAGTATCTCAGGCATCCTTTTGACAGTATCCTTTTGACAGCAGTAGTGTGTACATGCCCTTAAATCCTGCACACGCTTCTTCTCTTTTGTCTTAAGAGAGGCCGCTGGATGAAACAGTTTTTTTTTAAAGAACCAGAGAAAAAAAGACAGGTAACATAGTTCTCCTTCTGGCTCAGTCACTCCTTGATACTGGGCTGGATCAGGTGCTGTCCACAAGACCTAGGCGCTCATTATGACAGGAAAAAGCCACTGAATTAAAAAAAAAGACCCTCATTCCCTCTCCCTAAAGTAAATGGAGAAGAGAACTTAAAAACATTTTAAAAACAAAGTAGATCCTACTGTCAATATTGCAAAGTCCAGTTATGGAGTTGCACCAATCCTGCTTTGCCACAGAACGCGGTATTTTAATATAGAAAATTGTGTTAATAGGTCACCAGATGCATCCTTGTTAGCAGAGGAAGTGGTAGTAAATTTTAAGCATTTTTTTTAAAAAAAAATCAATCAAAAATGTCTTCCTTTTTCCCTCGACAGAAGGGTAGCCATGTTTCATTCTGTGGTGAAACGTATTTCCCCTTTCATTTGAGTAGTTCGCTATTGCCTTCACCGTGGAAGGAGAAGACAGCTGCATTCTTAAGTTTACCCTTAAGGAAAAAAGAATATCAGAAGAAAAGCAGTTGGATTTCATTTTAAAAACTGAAAGCACATTTTAGAACAACTACAAAGTAAGTTTAGCATAAACCCAGATTGTAAGTAGCACTTGCAGAAATTAGGACCAAATGTTTTATACCCACCTTCCTGCTGTACCTCATGTATGGCATGAGTGGCTTATCTGGAGGCTTGGGGGGCTTGGGGATTGTAATGCCTGATGATGCCTAGAGAAGAGCCAAATAATATCCACTGGTTATCTAATCTCAAACATTTTGAGAACTGCAAAAAAGCCCCCCAGAGTTTTTCCAAGAGATACAGGCAAGTAAGTAAGACATAGGTAAAGGTAACATAACTAGCTCTCATGAGAACATTTATTTATTTATTTATTTATTTGGTGCGCTTGTATACCGCCAATATCTCAGCCAGTGCGGCGACTCATTGCGGTTTACAACATGTTAAAATATACAATTAAATAAAAACATATAAGATTAAAAATTAAAAATGCATACAGTAACATACATAGTATTGGGCCACCAATACAGATCGGAACATCTCATAATTAAAATCGTAATCCAATTCGTTGTCCTTGATTGCTAGTCCATGGTCAAACACTTCACATCAAAATTAATTGAAGACTTGCTCGAATATCCAAGTTTTTAGTTTTTTCCGAAATGCCATTAGCGAGGTGGCTGATCTTAACTCAATCGGGAGGGCATTCCAAAGCCGGGGGGCCACCACAGAAAAGGCCCTATCTCTCGTTCCCACAAGCCGCACCTGTGAAGCAGGGGATAGAGAGCAGGGCCTCCCCAGAAGATCTTAGGGTCCTGGTGGGCTGATAGGCCGAGATACGTTCGGATAGGTAGTTGGGCCAGAACCGTTTAGGGCTTTAAAGGCCAAACCAGCACTTTGAATTGAGCTCGGTAGCAGATCGGCAGCCAGTGGAGCTGGTACAGCAGGGGAGTTGTGTGCTCCCTGCGTCCCGCTCCTGTTAGTATCATGGCTGCCGCACGTTGGACCAGTTCGAGCTTCCAGGCCGTCTTCAAAGGCAACCCCACGTAGAGAGCGTTTCAGTAGTCTAAACGGGATGTAACCAGAGCGTGGACTACCGTGGCCAAGTCAGACTTCCCAAGGTACGGGCGCAGCTGGCGCACGAGTTTAACTGTGCAAATGCTCCCCTGGTCACCGCCGAAACCTGGGGTTCCAGGCTCAGCGGTGAATCCAAGATCACACCCAAGCTGCGAACCTGCGTCTTCAGGGGGAGTGCGACCCCGTCTAACACAGGCTGTAACCCCGTACCCAGTTCAGCCTTGCGACTGACCAGGAGCACCTCTGTCTTGTCTGGATTCAACATCCAAGTCAGTAGTATCTTAAGGACTTTTAGAATCTAAGAAATCTATCAAAAGGGATCTCTTACTAGAGGTAGCATTGTTTTCAATACCATGTACAGCAAATTGAAGAGCATCAGCAATGATCCGGTCTCTCTTTCTAATGAGAGCAGTTGTTACTATACCTTCAAGAACTACCCGAGACTACATTCACACTTGCCTTTTGTACTCCTGGTTAAAACCAAGTAATAGTTTCACCTTCAACTATGTCACTTTTGAAGCATTAACTCGCATAACTCAGTGGGGACTTAACTGCAATTAATTTCAGTAGTCCCTCCACTTCTGCAACAATTAGGGGAACAGAACCCTTGCGAAAGAGGAAAAAACAAATGAACACACATACCCTTTTCTAAAATGAGAGAACACCCCTCTAGGAATCTCTAGGTCCTCCAGCACAACGTCTGTTGAAGACCTCGAGATTGCTAATGACAATGTATTAATCAAATCTGTAAATAATCAAACTTCAAAAATAATTTCAATCTCAATTTCTTTCAAGTCCAAAGAAGTGGCTTTCTTACAACAATATGGGCAACTTTTGCCCCTCCAGATGCTGCTGGACTATAGCTTCTATGGTCCCAAATAATTTGCTGATGGGAATTGAAATCCAACAACATATAGAATGTCATAAGTTGCCTATTCCTGCCCTTCACTAAGTAAATCAGCAGAGATTTTGTGTGTGACAGGGGCTCTTGGCAATTATTACTTCCTGGAGAATGGTAGCAATTGCCCTGAATTTATGATCTGTGCAATGTTGCTCCTTTGACACTGGCACTGTAGAATTGCTGCTAGATATTACAAAAATAGCTGTGGCATATTTTGTTTTGAATATCCACTGAAGAGGCAGATTATACAGCATTAGAGGATATAGGTTAGAAGAGTACAGTGGCAAACCAGTAGCAAAGTTCAGGTGTGAATGCAACCTCAATACTAAACAAAAAAGACAGATACACTTTAGAAAGAGGAGAGATCAGATCTGTATTAATATGGATATTCTTTCATACAAGGCCTTCTCAAATAACACTTATTCCATAAAGACAGAATATGGATGGGGAAACTCAGAATGCCTGTTGGAACAAGATCTCTGCAAGGCTTGCTCCCTCAACCTGTACATCATATGAGTCCAAATTGTACTGTCCGAATCCAAATTAGTTTGTGAGTTCCTGGAGGGACCTCTGTCTTCCTTAAAGGTTTGTACAAACGCCAAGCATCTTCCCTGTACTCAATAAGAAAGAAAAGAAAGACACTAAAACAAAGAGGCGTTACTAGCCAGCAACTGTAAAGTCCCCTTTTCTCTACAAAGAAAATTCTTTCAAAATGCAACACTTGGACAAATACAATTTATTCTTTTCAGATATGTGCTAACATTATAGTTAATTTAACACAGATTGCAAGAGAGATTTAACAACTCAGTCTTAGACATTTTCATATAAATCACTGTTGTTTTCAATTGTAATAGTTTCAACCATCGCAAGAAGTTTCAGCACTACATATGTTTTGAAATCAGTGAGATTTCCAGGTGGTGGCTGAGATCAGTTATGTGAATTAATGGCAGCTATGAAAAATGGACCTCTATGGACACAAGAACCATTTTTCTAAACTCTTCTGACAGCGAGGGACCTCTATTTCAATGGAAAAAAACAGATCTATGCAGGATTTCTCGACTCATAGGGAATTTTGCCTTCCATAGATATTGATGTGGTGGCCTTTGTGAACAACATTCACCTGCATGTTGGAGTTCATGCAGTTCTTCGGAACAATTTCAGAGATCAACCTCAGGAACTGTTAAAGGACTAGAACTCTCAGGTTTGAAGTAAAACATGTTGAAAACTGTATGTTTTTAAGCAGAGAAAAACAGGTATTTCTTCTTGCCATTTATGAAATGTTATGAACCAATCAATGCATACATCACTTCCACTGAAATCTAACAATGTTATGAGTTGTATGCATCAGCAAATGTATACAGATACACAAACAGAATGATGGATCTGGAAACATTCAGTGTATCAATTTAATGCTTGTAATTCAACAGGAAGCTCTAAATGTTCATATACAATGAAAGTCTGAATTTGAATTTAGATTGCAAAAGTCTTCAGTGTGCACGTGTGTGTGTGTTGGCAAATACGCTGAATCAAATCTAGATATAGTTTGAGATCCATTTATATTAAGGGGATTTAACTGAATTAATCACCCACATTGATTGCATGCACTTATTCTAATCTATTTGTCTAAGTAAAGACCCTGCTTTCATCAATTTTGCTTACTGTACACGTCCTATTCAAATGGTAATTGCTTCTTATTTATAATGTTTTACAAGTTATTTCTACAAATGTTACCTAAGGAGTTTATTAAATCAACAATCAGTAAGTGATCCACCTCCATTCAATTTCAAAAGCCTGTGGATTTTGACATACATTCATATGGATAAGGAACATGCTGATTTCAATTAATAATTTTGGAGAGGATTTGGGAATTTCCTGCAGTTCCAATACTGTTTTCCTCAAATTTGAGGGAAAGGGGAAACCTATCCTAATTTCATTCCACCAGTCTGGATTAGTTTCTGTGTTTCTCAAAATGCTCCATCCATCTCATGTTCATGTTGCAATAAGGCATCTGTCTTGGTCTTGTAGGTGCTATATCATGTCTAAGTTTTACATTAAATTCCTATGGAAGTGAAAGGCCAATTCAAATATGCATGGAGATCACTTGATGCTTTTCCATTTGATGATTTGCAAGCCAGTGTGTGAGCTGCCTCTGTAGAAAGTGACTATCAGAGCTACCTGGAGGTATCATGAAAGCTTTGTCAGTGATGTCCACTCTATGGTAACATTTTCATGTATATCTTGACGTTTCGGCCATCAAATGACATACAGGTGAACTCACCCAAAACCTTGTTCCAATTTACAAATAAAAGGTTACTATTTAAAATTTAGTTCCTGCACAATGAAAAGAGAAAGAGTGGGAAATTAGAGAAAGAAATCACAAGTTAATTTTCCATGGTTATATTGAGAAAAAAAGAGGTAGCAGCTAAGATTCAGAAGAACCTAACTCTAAAGCCATTTCTGGTCACTTCCTGTTGTTTGCCGGATGACGTAATAGTTGATTCTCCTACCGTGGCCCGGCTGTTGCTGCCCGAGTTCCCTCCCAGCCTGTAGTTGTTGTAGGCCAGATGGCTGTATGGATTGTATCCCACAAACCCTGGTGTGCTGGGCATTTGCTGATGGAAACAAATGAGACAAAAACACGAATGAGAAATGAACCTCAATGAGGAGAACACAGAGAAATGAAAATGGTTTGCAATACGGCATGCAAAAGCAACCGGAAATTTAAACAAGCAAAATGAGGTGTAGCAGCACGAGGTCCCTCTTGAGAGAAACAGTTAGCCTGAATGAAACCCATTTTAAATGGATTTTTCTTCTTCTTTTAAATTCTTGTCACTTGAAATTTTAGAGAGTTATAATCTCAAAGCCTCCAACATGAATGTGGGAATATTTTATCTCTGACAATTAAAATTTACCATTGTATCAGCTATTCTAGAAGTCCCCTAAGAAGTACACCTAATATTTATTGGGGGGAGGGAGATATGTACCACAGAACCTAGAAACAACTTTGCATGAGCATATATACACTCCTTAATTGTATTTCCTTTTTTTCCTTTGTGAAACTGATTGTCTCATCTTAAATGGCTGCAAAAGAAAGTGAGATCTGAGAATGAACAAAAACACACATATACAGACAGAAATGGACCTCACAACCACAACCTGGATGTACAATCTCCAAAAAGTTGTCCTGCAATTCAGTGAGATTTTCCAAGTTTTATATTTTAGAGGTCCCAATGCTGCAGAAAGCTGAAAAATATGCTACATTTCTTAGTAACAACATTAGAGACTCAATCTGGTATAGAGGTTAAATTTCTGGTCTTAGGTTCAGGAGCCACTATTTCAAATCTGTTTTGTCAAAAATACTAACTGGTTTGAATGGTCACATCTAAACTTATTAAGCAGAAATATGCAAGATCCTTTGGTATTTGTGTATTTGCATGAGTCATGGTTAAACCTGGAGATGCTACAATTAATTAGATTTTAATGGCTCACAGAGAAGGTTTCCAAAGGAAAACCTACTGGATAACATTGAGCTAGATTTATTCTAAATCACAAAGGTGTCAAGAGGACAATAGTGTGTGTGTGTAAGCATGTATATACAGGTGACAACAAGCCATATAGTTCTCCTAAGGAAAGAACAGAGTAAAAATACAATCTGTCAACAGATATCAAAATGTTCAGGGATTATGCCAGCCCAGTTAATTAAGAAATGATGTAGGTTTATGTCCTGTGCTACCATGCTTTATGGCATTACATAATATGATATGATGCCATCCCAAGTGCTGATAATCTAAGAAGAGATGAGTCCCTTCAATGTCCACCAACAATAATATGAAAGTCTCCAATCTTTTCTCCATTATTCAGAAAACGAGCAATGCCCAATTCAGAAAGGCAGTGAAGAAAAAAGTCACTTCTTCTCCATTGCTTCCAATATGGGGAGCCGGGATTCTTGGTCACTCATCTGCATCTCCATCCATATTTATTATAGGAAACCAGTAAGATTTGTAAGCCTTCATCAGTCAGCATATAGCTTAGTTCCAAGCTTGCCAAGTCAGGACAACATCTAACCCTCTTAGAGAACAATTCTTTCAAGGAAAATGGCTATTTCAATTTGAGGCTCAAGTGTTTGCTTTGGGCTTCCCAACTTGTGATTATTAATTTGCTTCTGCTCTTATACCGCTTCTACATACATATGCTTAGTTCTTCCAGATATAACAGCCTGGTCAGATCTTGGCTGCAGTTCGTGTGTGCTGCTCCAAGTAGTCTTGTTTACATCAATGGTGCTTTTCCACTTTCTGTTCAGCCTTTTCTCATGTCCAACTACAATTAGAGCTCAAGGGAAAACTCTTTGTGAATTATAATCCCTAGAGTCTTCTACTTGACTGGACTGGAGTGGTGGAGCCAATGTCCAGAGTATAGCCCTCTATTTTGTGGTCTCCATATTTGCAATGGAAATCCTATCTAGACAGATTGAATATCCCTTTAAATTTGGACCTCTCTTATTCTGAAGTTTCCTGTTCTCTATAATTCATATCCAAAAGGATGACTCCTCTTTATTCTTTTATCACACCATTTTATTCTGTCCCTATTACTTAACTAGCAGGGTCCCTAAGCCACGCCAGTTCTGCTACAGGTTCCATGACCTTAAAACTCATACACAAGTTGAATGAATTTAACTGCCGTGGTGCATATGCAGATCCTGAGTCTATGTAACAATGGCAACATTTATCCAACACATTAAACTCAAATGCTTATCATAACAGTTTAGATAAACAAAAATGTCTAGGTTTTCAAGAGACAACAAAAAATATTTAAGGGCATTCTTGGGAACAATTTAAGGCCTCATCACACTTGATAATTTATCCACTTTAATCCACTTTAAATACTGTGACTGCCTCCTTCAGAATTCTGGGGTTTGTAGTTTAGGGAGGCCCATGAGCAGTTTAAAGGCCCCTCCCTAAACTACAAAGTCCAGAATTATGCAGGAGGCAGTCAGTTAGAAATCTCTTAAGTCCACTAAATCACAAAGGACAGGATCTTGGACAAGTTACTATATATGTGGCTATGTGATTAGAATGCTGTTGTCAGCTCCCTAAGAAGACAAAACATACAATCAAAATCTGCCTCACTACTTATATAATATCAAAAGCTGATTTGATATTATGTCCAAGTAATCCACAGTTTTACAATTAGCTACCTTCCTGGGGACTGTGATGCTTCTTAAGTAAAGCAGCAAATAGCATGCTTTGTATAAATATCTTAGAAGTATTATGACCCAATCATTAAGTATTGCTTCAGAAAACTGGAATAATAATGCCTTAAGTATATCTGAACAGCAAAGTTTCGGTATATTTCCAAGAATGAGAGTTGCACAAACCTACCCAACATAATTCAAACACTCATTGGTTATTCTCAGATTAAGAAAGGATACCTCAAGTGAATTTGGCTGAGCAGAAATAGCCATCTATATTCTTAGTACATCACAATTTTCCTGAGATTATTTTTGTAATCATACTCAATTCACTTTTTAAAACATTTTATATTGCTTTATTATTATACAGGTGTAACCCATGTATTTGACAGTTTAAAAACCAAAGAACTGCTAAGACTAGAAATCATTGAAACATAGAACGCAACCTGTTTTAGCTTTCAAAGCACTTTGGTAACTTAAAAACAAACACAGTACAATATACATCACTTGCAAATGATGCAAAATATCAATAGCACAGTTAATTGAGAGAAAAAGTAGTGTGTCCAGAGAAATGCATGGAAAGTTGTGCAAGCATACTGGAACAGGTCAAAAAAGTGAAGCACATATTAAGGATATGGTTTCTGGTTAAAACTGAATAGGGCCAAAGGAGTAAGTCATCGAAAGGGGCACCACTGATACATTGGTGATGCTGATATTCACACCTGGCTCTTCAACAGACAAGTAACTGTGGTTAACAATGAAATAATAAGTCCCTTTTTTTCATGGCTGTCTATGGCATTTCACATGGCATTCCATAAGTGATAAGAAGTAACTTATAATATTTTGCACAAACAGGCTACTAAATACTTGAGTGGGACCAGCAAATGAAATACAAAAAATTAAAGCTATCTTTTTGGTAAACAATCTGTGTTATACATTCAAGACCTAACACAGAACAAGGCCTCCTATCTTCATATAAATCTGCTAGCATTTCATAGTTCTTTAAGAACCCATTCTTCTAGTACTTTCCCAAAAGGTTAAGTGCTCCGTAAATATAAAAAGATATGTCAAAACTGAAAGGGCACTTCACAGAACACCCAAAAAGACAGCTACCATCAATTTAAATGAAGTTTGACCACAGAAGGAGACCTCTTAGGACACCCTTTTAACTTGTTTCGATTGTGCCTGTGTGCTTTTATCATTTTGTTGCTTTCTGTAATATGATTTTAAAAATCATTTTTGGTAATATTTTTGCATTTAGCGCTCTTAAAATACCATTAGCCAGCCCCAAGGTCATGAAACTGAAAGAATAACAAATATTTGAAATATGCATTTTCCACAAGCAGACTCTCATAAAATAGAAATTCATGGAGATATACCTAAAAAGCCTTAGAAATAAAAAAAATGGTTAGCAAGTATACCAGTAAATAAATATTTTCATTATTTTCCTCCCATGTTACAGGATTTTGTGGAGATATAATGAAGTAGATCAGACAAATTGGGGGGGGGGGGCAGGGGTAAAACCCATTTGTAGTGGATTGCTCCTTCTGGACATTCTGAGAATAGTGAGCAACTCAAATGAGTGCCAGGATCTATGAAATGAAGTGAGGCCACAGTAGGTGCCCAGTGTACAGCAAAATCAAGGCTTGCATTTTAGAATTAAAAAAAATATTTTGCAGCCATGGGTGGCTGAATCCATGGATGCAGAACCCATGGATATGGAGGACTGACTATACTAGAGGGAGTTGGTTGGGGAAATGATTTCCAATATCCATGATTTAATCTCAGCACTTTTTAAAAACCAAAGCATTCATTTCCTCTTATTTCCAGCAATGTGTGTCATAGCTCTAACAAATTTATTAGCTTTGATATTTTACAAAGAAACCAACATCTAGGTTACCTAAGTTAAAGAGGTAGCCCAAATGAACACAATCATGATCTTAAAAAATGCCAAATATAAAATACATCAATATACTTGAGACTACACGTTGCAATTGTTAAGGACAACAAGGGACAGTTAAGAGGATTTCAGAAATTGGCTGGCAAAGACTTCTGTTTGAATCTGAGTTCAACATCGATATATCACCAATGTGATCCAGTGCATGGAGTTTCTTATACCTTCTGCTCTGAAGTAAATTGAATTCAGCCTTCAATGTTTGTCAGATGAGAAAAAAAAACCTTCTATACTTACGGTTGCGGGGGCTGGGGTGGGTGGAGGGGCATAAGATGGCCTTTCTGTTTTAAAAACAAAAGGAAGTATAATGACTTTTATAGAACAGTTTAATCATAGATACTGCAAGAAGAGTTTCTGAAAAGTAAATCAAAATTAATGGGAGAAAATTGATGTGCTGAAAACAAGAAATGTAATTAATTTAGGAAAGTATTTCAAAACTACTACTATAGTGTCCAAGCTGCTGCCAAGAAGTCAAGGAAATGAATAGAATATATAGGCCAACTGTGTAAGCTTTTTTTCCCTATTTCATGAACATTTGGGACCTCTTCACACAGGGCTTTTTTTTTTTTTTTTTTTGCCCCATTCTTCCATTTATTGACAGGGCTCGAGTTTCATCAGACAATACTGGCTTGGCTTTGCCCACATTCCTCCCAAAGTGGAGGGGAAGATTCGCAAGATGCTTTCTTCTCCATGACAGAGAGGAAAATGTTTTTTGCACTTTACTTTCCATTTCCCCATATGATGGGGGGGGGGGGGGGGGGAGCAGCGAGGCTATGCGCGCTGTTGCTTTTTCTCCCATATGATAGGGACAGGGTGTGTTGGTGCCCTGTCCCTATCATATGGGAGAAAAAGCAACAGCGCGCATAGCCTCGCTGCTCCCCCCCCCCATTTCCTCCATTTCCACCATATGATGGAGGAAGGAGGGAGGGCATGTGGGGTGCCATGAGCTGCCCCTGCACGCCAGCAAAATGGCATGGCACCAGGGGCTGTGTGAAGAGGGCCAAAGACTGCTGGCTGAACCACTAGCTAGAGTGATAGCATTCTCAAATGACTGTTCTCTCAATATTTAGCTCAGTATACTTTGTTTACAAATGATCCAACATGGAAGCTCTTACACATTAATGAGAAGGAAATGCTTGAAGTCTTCTTTCACATATATAGGATTTACCAAGGAAGTATTTACTCATAGTTATCATCTAAAAACTGAGCTAATGTGAAAGTTTTTTGTAAGAAGACTGTTTCAGAATCAAAACAAAACACCAGTACAGAATAAAAGTGAATGGAACTATGATCCCTAATACCAGTGCAATCTACAGGGTAGGAATTTTGGTTGGATATATCACAGTAGGATGGCTTGTATAATAGATCTCCAGTTTCCAGGAGCCAGTGAACTCGCCGCTAGAGTCCTAAAAAGTTGTCTTTCTGCTATAAAATGATATGTAAGATTATCCCCACCCGTGTGGCCAATGATAGACTCTTGGTGTGGAAAATTGGAAACACAACCTCTAAATTTTCTGACTTTTGCATTATAGGAATAGTGAAGTGAGAGCACTTTTTTAAAAAAAAGAAAAGAAAGAAAAGCAAGTTGTGGAGATATGAAGTATTTGGAAATGATAGGGAGCCTATTGTTCTTTGTCACTTGATGCTGGATTCTGACTTAGCCAAGTTTAGGACACTCTAAAAGTAGTGGGAAAAATCATGGCTAAAGTTAATCAATCCATTTCAAAGGGTCTAAGACAGGCATCCTCAAACTGCAGCCCTCGAGCAGTTTAGAAAACCTGACCATTGAACAAACTGGCTAGGGCTTCTGAGAGTTGGGAGTCCAAAACAGCAATTTGAAAATGCCTGGTCTAAGAACTACTGAGTTTGGATCTAAAGCTTATCGATGTTATTTATGCTTTTCTTCTTATTAACTGCTTGACTGAGACAAATCAAGAAATGCCTCTAAGTTCATCGTGGCCTTTATACCAAAAATGTGAATGTAAAACTGCTTAGGGTAGATGGTCATAGAACCAAGTTTATAGTTTATAGTTAGCATGGCAGTGACCTTGCACTGTTTCAAAGGACCACACAACACACTTTCTGGATTTGCTGTGTAAGATTTTTAAGATGACGTCTCATCAACAGTAAGTCACAAAATGAAAGAATTTGAGTTTTTTATATGAATTTCTTACACATTTCTTATGTATTACGTATTTCTCACGTAATAAGAAATAGAAAGCTTTTGCTAAACTTACTTGACATTTTGGTAGATAAAATGTTCAACCAGAGGACATTAGATCTGAAAAACAGTAGTAATGATAGAACAATACTGTAAACCATGTTTTGTCAACACGTCATGCAGTATACAATGCATTTTACTAAGATCACCAATAGTTTTAAATGCACAGCTGGATAATAATTACAAGCAGATTACAAATTCTACTACCTTAGTATTAATCTAAACATTTTAATATGTAAAAATGGCAGGTGTTCCTATTATTCAGGAAATCTATAATCAAGAGACACCAAATGTCATCAATATAGTGACAAAATATTACTAAAATGTTTTCCTCCATTCATTTTTTTCTAGTATAGAATATGTAGTGAAAGAATATAGGAAAACCTCATTATGTGCTGAGTAAGATATTAATACAAGAGCAAAGCAGACCACTACAGAATTTCATATCCTCCATTTACTCACCAATTCTACTAGTGATGAAAACACCAACCATAATTGACATAAACTTTATGGAGGTTGGTACTTTTAAAACAGGTTAAGAACATATTTAAATATACAACACAGCTAAACTCAATCTACTGATATTGCTATTTTATCATGAATAAGAAGCATGTGACCTAGAAATATAATCCTTATTCGGTTGTTTTAAAGTTCAGTCAACCCTCTACTTAGGAATACAGGACCTGTGTGAAAGTGAAAACAATGAATAAAGGTATTGCTGTTTGAATGCTTCTCTAGGCATTTCTAGATCTTTCAGCATGACTCTATAGTTGACTTCTGCTGGAGGCTAAGCACTGAATCACACCGGAGGACCTGGGTCCCTTCCACACAGCTATATAACCCAGAATATCAAGGCAGAAAATTCCACAATATCTGATTTGAACTGAGTTATCTGAATCCACACTGCCATATATTCCAGTTCAAAGCAGAAAATGTGGGATTTTATTCAGCTGTGTGGAAGCGGCTCTAGAGATTTTTAGAGAGGAGTTCTCTCTAGAAATCTGCAGGTTCCCCATATAATTGGAGAATGTTGCCTGCCGAGTCAAACTGGAGGACCTAGAGATTCCTAGAGAGAACATTTTAAAATAAAATCTATAAGAATTAAAACCATGGGTGTGAAGGGAGAACACTATTACAAAACTATATGATAAAAAGTACTGCTGCTATTACCTTATATGCTACACACACTTCAATGGCACAAAAGAATGCAAAACAAAGGATAAACTTCACACTTTTATGTGCAGAGTTGAAGTTTAATAGACATCTATGTTTTTATTTCTCACTTCCTAAGACATGAAAACCCTGCTTGCCTCTCCTCCATTAATCTACACAATATAAATGTTTAGGATTTAAACCAGGGATGGGGGATATTTAATCCTTCTCCCAGATGTTAGACTTCAACTTACATCATTTATTTTGTTTTGTATTGGGCAATGTATGTGTGTTTGTATCTTCAAGTCACCTGTTTACTTACAGTGATGCCATTAATTTCATAGGGTTTTCTTAAAGCAAAGGATTCTCAGAATGATGTCAGTTCCTTCCTCTGAAATATAGACTAGAGCACCTGCTATTTGTTGTAAGTCCCCCATCAAAGTACTAACCAGTGGTAACCATGCTTAGCTTCCAAGATCAGAGGGGATGTGGTCCCTTTAAGGTACTTAGGCTATTTGGTATGCCTCAACTACAGGAAAAAGAAAATAATTACACATAATTCATTCATTAGACTGTACTATTTCCAAGATATGAGGAGAAAAAAACCACCACAGTACCCAAAATAGCAGAATGTGGATGTTTTAACTGTTTCGGTTTTATGTCATTATATAATTTTGTTGATTTTATGTATTTATTTAGTATAAAAAGCATTGCATAAATTAGTATAAAACTGATAAAAATAGAAGCACAAGCTGCTAAATATCTTTTGACCAAAAATAGGCAACAGTGATCACATTGTCTATAGCCTCAAACAAATCTTCTTCTGTACATGAGGCAGGACATTGCAGGCAAGCATACATATGCGGAGTTGTCTGTTCTGCTCTGTAGTCACACAAGGTGGAGGATTTTTAGGTAGTGCCATTTTGCCAGGTTGTCTTTTGATCTGTCCACTCCACTTGAGTTTGTTCGGGGACTTCCAAGTTGCCCATTCCTGGTTTGCCCCTAAAGGCAGATCCTCATGGGGGAGGGGGGCATCCAATTGGATTAGCTGTATTTGAGCGATATTCTTGCTGTTTCTGGGGAAACGTTAAGATGAGTGGTGGTTCTCATGAAGCTTTTCCTTGATTAGAGTCTACTGGGAGGAGGCTGATAGCCATGCAGTGGATGGCTTTCACAGTGTTCAACCTTATTTCTCTCAGTTAGTAGCAACTTCCTGTGGCATATTGGGGGGGGGGGAATGTCAGCTAGCTTGTAGAGTTTATCAACAGGTGTAGGTTTAAGACATTATGTGATTACTCTGTATGTTTTGTTCATTACCATGTTCACCTGCTTCATGTGGGCAGACTTGTGCCAAACAGGGCAGGCATGCTTGGCAGTTGAGTAAGACAAGGCCAGGGCTGATGTTCTTATTAATTTTGGGCCTGCACCCCATGTGCTGCCAGTTAGTTTCTACAGGATGTTATTGCATGCATCTACTTTGTGTTTGGTGTTCCTGCCGTGTTTCCTCTATGTTAGTGTTCAATCTAAGGTGACACAAAGATATTTAGGATGGAAACAATGTTCAACCTCTTGACCTTCCCGGGTAACTTACAATTTCCTGCTGGCTTCATGGTTCTGTAGGTGGAAAGCACACATGCATGTCTTGGAAAGGTTAGGCTACTTTGTTGATTATTTTGTGTTTAATTTATTGATGTTAGGTTCTAATGCAGTGGTTCTCAACCTTCCTAATGCCGCGACCCCTTAGTACATGTCCTCATGTTGTGGTGACCCCCAACCATAACGTTATTTTCATTGCTACTTCATAACTGTAATTTTGCTACTGTTATGAATTGTAATGTAAATATCTGATATGCAGGATGTATTTCATTCACTGGACCAAATTGGGCACAAACACCCGTTACGCCCAAAATTTGAATACTGGTGGGGTTGGGGGGGGGGGGGATTGATTTTGTCATTTGGTAATGCTGGAGTTGCTGGGATTTATAGTTCACCTAAAATCAAAGAGCCTTCTGACCTCCATCAATGATGGAATTGAATCAAACATGGCACACAGAATTCCCATGACCAAGAGAAAATACTGGGAAGGTCTGGTGGACATTGACCTTGAATTTTTGGAGTTGTAGTTCACCTACATCCAGAGAACACTGTGGACTCAAGCAATGATGGATCTGGATCAAACTTGGCACAAATACTCAATATGCCCAAATGTGAACACTGGTAGAGTTTGGAGAAAATAGACCTTGCCATTTGGGAGTTGTAGTTGTTGGGATTTATAGTTCACCCACAATGAAATAGCATTCTGAACCCCACCAACGATAGAATTGGACCAAACTTTCCACACAGAACCCCCATGACCAACAGAAAATACTATGTTTTCTGATGGTCTTTGGCGACCCCTCTGACACCCCCTCGCGACCCCCACAGGGGTCCCGACCCCCAGGTTGAGAAACACTGTTCTAATGTCTTCATATGTGGTGTTAATTTGGATTATTTGCTGGCACTTATTTGTTTTAATGTAATGCAATATAATACTAATAATAATATGATATTATAATTATATATTTATATTACATGTAATATTACTAATAATATTACAATATAATGGTATAATACAATATAGTAATATTTAATACTGAATTGTACTATGCTAATAATATAGTATATTGTATGTATATATATCTTGTAAGCCGCTTTGAGTCCCCTTCGGGGTGAGAAGGGCGGCATATAAATGTCATAAATACAATAAATAAATTAATAAATTATTGAGACATTGAATGTTTTCCTTTTTTGTATGTTGGTATCTGCACTGAGTCCCCCAGGGAGATAGGGTGGAATAAAAATTAAGATCATCTGGGCATTAAAATAATCTGGCGAGGCCCTGCTCTCGGTCCCGCCTGCATCACAGGTACGTCTGGCGGGGACGAGAAACAGGGCCTTCTCAGTGGTGGCCCCTTGGGGGGGGGGTGGAACGCCCTTCCTGCAGAAATTAGATCGGCCCCCTCCCTACTGGCATTTTGAAGGAAAGTGAAGACCTGGTTGTTTGAGCAGGCATTTGAATAGGCAGTGTAATGAACATAGAAATACGGAGCAACAGATGATGAGATTGGATCTTGATTTTGCTTGAGACGCTAATGAGATGTTATATTGATGTTTAATCTGTTTATTATGTTACTATCTTAATTGTTTTTAACTTTTTTTATGATGTCAAGCATTGAATTTTTGCTATTAACCGCTTTGAGTCACCTGAGGGCTTTTTTTTTTGGTCGTGTCAGGAGCATCCTGTTGTGAGAGAACTGACCGTCTGCAAGGATGTTGCCCAGGGGAAGCCCGGATGATTTTTTGATGTTTTATCATCCTTGTGGGAGGCTTCTCTCATGTCTCTGCATGAGGAGCTGGAGCTGATAGAGGGAGCTCATCCGCCTCTCCCCGGATTTGAACCTGCGACCTGTCGGTCTTCAGTCCTGCCAGCACAAGGGTTTAACCCACTGCGCCACCGGGGGCTCCACCGGAGGGCTGAGAAAAGTTTAAAAATGAAGTAAATAAATAAATAAATAAATAAGATTTTATATTATTATTATTAGTAGCATTACTGTGGCAGTTCTTTCCTGTTCATATCTGGGAAATAATACAATCTAATAAGTGAGTACTTATAATTCTTTTCTTTTGTATTACTAAGGGTTGGTTTTAAGGAGTGTGCCCATGTATATATGCAAGTTGCCTGTCGACTTATGACAACATTATGAATTTCATAGGCGTTTCTTAGGCAAGGAATACTCAGAAATCCCTCCCCTTTTGTAATGTTTTTCTTTTGTTCTTTTGGAAACAAATAAAACTTACTTATAGAAAAAAAAAGAAGAAGTAATATTAAATCATTATAATAAATCATTAAATCATTATAATAATTAGGAATTGAGAAAATAAATAGTATAATTCAAGAAATTAAAAAACAGAAGGTATTTCGACCAATGTATTGTATGGTCAGTGTGGACTCATACAAAGCACTTGAACTGCATTATGATAATGCTGCAGTATATTTCAAGCCGGCCTCAGCGCTAATTATAATCGACATCGATGAAGAAAAACCCTCCTCTCAGAAACGGGCCTCCCTTCACACCGGCCTGGAAAGGCCTCTGGGCTTTGGCGTGGCCGAGGAAGGAGGATTTCTGGGGTCCCGCACCCCAATATGCCTCCTCAGCCAAGCCCCAGCCACGTCCTTCAGACTCACCCGCGTCCCACTCGGACTCGAGGCCTCTCTCTCGCTTCTTTTGTCTCGACACGAACCAAGAAAGGCGGGGATGGAGAAGGAAGGCGGCGGCGAGGCGGCCTCTATTTCACTATTTCCGTTCCTGCTTCAGCACTTTCCGCACAGACCTCCCTTTCGCTAGGTAAGAAAAAAAAAGGTAAAAACCTAACAAGAAAATCCTCTCGAATTCCACTTTAAACAGCACACATATACTTTCCTCCTCTTGAGTTTCAAGACGTCCTCTCTTCCGAGGGTTGCCGTGGCAACGACGTGAAAGTGCTGCTTTGAATTCCAAGCTAAGGGAAAAGTGGAGGAGGGAGGAGGAGAGAGCGTGCTGGATGACGTGATGACGTCATCGATCGGCATTGCGTGAGGAGCGTGATGAATCCATACAACCTGAGCAACTTTGGGATGGTGGGTTAAGTATTTGAGTTGCTGCTGCTGCAACCAATTGCCTTTTAAAACAAAGTTCCAAGCTGGGGTTTGACGGCCTTTCTTGAGCCAGGCCCCTTCCACACAGCTGGATGAAATCCCACATTTGCTTTGAATTGGGATATAAGGACAAGAGGGAGGTGGCTAATCTGATGTCTTTGGGGAGGGAATTCCACAGACAGGGAGCCATGTTGAGAAGGCCCTGTCATCTCCACTAATCACGTTTGCAGTGGCGGTGGGATCAAGAGCAGGGCCTTTCCAGATGATCTTAAACTTGGTTGTTGCAGGTTGTTGCAGTGATTCCGGCCATGAAAGCCTTCGATCTTAAACTTTGTGATGATTCGTAGTAGGAGATACGTTCGGACATGTAGTCTGGGCCAGAACCGTTTAGAGCTTTAAAGGTTAAAACCAGCACTTTGAATTGTGCTCAGTAGCAGACCGGCAATCAATGGAGCTGGCGTAACAGAGGAGTTGGTTGCTCCCTGTATGCCGCTCCGGTGAGCAACCTGGCTGCTGACCGTTGGATTAATTAAAGCTTCCAGGCAGTATTCAAAGGCAGCCCCACATAGAGCACATTGCAGTAGTCTAATCACATTGCAGTAGTCTAATATCAAGGCAGAAAATCCCACATCTGAGTTCAAAGCAGATATTATGGGATTTTCTGCCTTGATATTCTGAGATATAGGGCTGTGTGGAAAGACCCTCAGATCACCCAGTTCAAAACATATTGTGGGGTTATTTGGCCTTGATATTCTGGGTTATATGGCTGTGTGGAAGGTCCCTCAGACTCCGCCTTTATTTTTCCTAATGCTACAGGTCTCAGGCCTCCTTCAACTTGCCACTTCATCACATTGAGACATTTCCCAGTCATAGGACACTTTGGCCTCTATTCAAACATAGATAGGCACTGAGTTCATCACATGAGTTAAACTATTTCTGGAAGTCATGCATAGCCCTCTGTGATTGAAGAGAGGCAGAAGTGTCCTGAAAGGAGGGAACTCCAGCAATCGACCTCATCACATTGCAAATGTTGACTCCCCCTGAAGACAGAGGTTCGCAGCTTAGGAGTGATCCTGGATTCATCGCTGAGCCTGCAACCCCAGGTTTCAGCGGTGGCCAGGGGAGCTTTTGCACAGTTAAAACTCGTGCACCATCTGTGCCTGTACCTTGGGAAGTCTGATCTGACCATGGTGGTCCATGCTCTGGTTACATCCCAAATAGTTTACTGCAACGTGCTCTTCGTGGGGCTGCCTTTGAAGATGGCTCGGAAACTACAGCTAGTTCAATGGGAGGCAGCCCGATTACTAACTGGGGCGGCATCCAGGGAGCATACCACCCCACTGCCACGTCAGTTCCACTGGCTGCCGGTCCATCTCCGAGCCCAATTCAAAGCGCTGGTTTTGACCTATAAAGCTCTATACGGTTCTGGCCCAGGTTACTTGTCCAAACGCATCCACCCCTACGTCCCACCTCGTAATCTATGATCATCCAGGGAGGCCCTGCTCTCACTCCCATCAACAGCACAGATGCGCCTGGTGGGGACGAGAGACGGCCTTCTCGGCTGTGGCCCCCCGCCTATGGAACACACTCCCAAATGAGGTAAGATCTGCTCCCTCCCTCCTGGCTTTTAGGAAAAAATTAAAATCATGGTTTTAGGATCAGGCCTTCAGGCAGTAGAAGTAAATGAATGCATTTTGGAAAGACTATGACTGGAACGGCGATTTGACATATGACACTTTTATTGTTTTAATGATCGTTTTATTGCTTATGGATGTATTGTTTTAATTTGATTTATGTTTAATCGTAATGTATAATTGTAATTGTTTGTACTGACATTGAATTTTTGCCATGACTTGCGTGTAAACCGCTTTGAGTCCCCCTAGGGGTGAGAAAAGCGGTATACAAATACTGTAAATAATAAATAATAATAAATAAATGTCCCTCTCCTAGAACACTTAAGCCACTTTTCAAGCATGGAAAGGCGTGGAGCTCATCACATGTTCCAGAGTTGAAAAGAGTCTGAAATGTCCTGAAAGGTGGGAACTCTGAACACAGCCAACAGTTTAAGAGGCAGCTTTCTGTTGGCTGCTTAATGCTTTTGTTTCATAACTAAGTCTGGGCCAGAGAGAACCTGAGCAAGATATAGGTCAGTTTTGCCTTGGACAGCAGGTAACATTGGGAATAGTGAGACAGGGGAGGAGAAGAGGAGGATCCTACCCCCTGAAATTGCTTCGCTGTCAGCACAAAAGCAGAAGGGACATATTGTACCATGGCAGATGATTATAACATTGTGGGATCGGGAGATATTGGTTGGGTTTACCCAACAATAGCTAGTGACAGCAGAATCATCGGGGTGGGGAGGCAAATCAGTAGTGGGATTACACATGGCAGGTTTGCCTGCCTCATGTGACAAAGTCCTAAATGTATTTGCAGCTTTGCATTGACCTTCCCCCATTTTTAAGGTCCTCTGAACATTAGGACCATATGCATCAAGAACATTTCTTTTCATGATCCTTCTGAATGAGAGAATGGACACCCAGTACATTCAAGCAACCAAGAATTCCATGCTTGTCAGAGCAGCATCTGTGGGAACAGAATCTGCTGGAATGTCATAGAATCATAGAGTTGGAAGAGACCACAAGGGCCCCTGCCATGCCGAGTCAAAACATCCCTGACAGATGCGCATCCGGCCTCTGCTTAGAAATCTCCTGAGAAGACTTCACCATGCTCCGAGGCAGCATGTTACACTGTCCAATAGTTCTTACCTTCAGGAAGTTTTCCTAATGTAAGATGGATCATTTTCCCCTGAAATTTTATCCATTACTCCATCCCCATCTCCTACTCTCCAGAGCAGCAGAAAACAAGCTCATAGCCCCCCTAAATGTGAAATTCTTTTAAATATTTAAACATGGCTGTCATGTCTCCTCTCATCTTCTTCTCTCCAAGCTATAAACATACTCAGATCCCTAAGTCGTTCCTCTACCCCTCTACATTGTAACTTGTCAAAATCCTTCTTGAATTGTGATGGCCAGAAATGGACACAGGATTCCAGTTGAAGTCTGACCAAAGCAGAATACAGTGGGACTATGGCTTCCATCAATTTCAACGTGATACTCCCAGTGATGCCTAGAATAGCATTTGCTTTTTTTTTTTTTGCCTCATCACACTATTGACTCATGTTCAGTTTATGCTTTACCAAGACACCCAGATCCCTTTCATGTCCTATTTTCAAGCTGGGTGTCACCCACCCTGTATCTCTGCATTTCATTTTTACTGCCTTCGTTTAGTACTGTGCATTTCTCCTTGTTGAAATTCATTTTGTAAGTTTTGGCCCACCTCTGGAATTTGTTAAGGGCATTTTGGATTCATTGGATGAAAGGAGAATTCAGTATGCTAGCTGTCACTTCAATACTCCCGATTTCAATATTGTAAAGTCTTTAAAGATATGTTTGGTTTTAAAATACTGTTTTTCAGCCAGAGGTATTTGGATGAGAAGTAGAATACTATTTAAAACAGGGGTGTCCATACTTTTTAAGATGAGGCTCCCTCAGCCTGTTGGGGGACCAGACTATCGTTTGAAAAAAAATTAACACATTCCTTTGCACACTTATTTGTAGCGCAAAAAAAAAAAAAAAACAAGAAAAAGAAAAAGAAAAGAAAAAGAAAAAAAACCTAGAACGTGTATGTCTGGCAGCATCTCTCCTTCTCCTCCCAAGGCTCCCCTCCTTTCTTTCAAATCATCCCTAAAAATATGTTCACCCCATTCTTCCATACTACCTGTGCTGGTACGGCTGTACCAGGAGCTCCAAACTCCCTTTCGTTCTTTGAGCATTTGCATGTGCTTGTTCTGGCCATTCATTTTGCAGTTGGATGGTTCCTGCTAGGCTGCAATCATAGGGCTAGCCACCTGTCTATCATTGTTGAGTTTTAGTTCTGCCCTTTTTTCCAGGTTCAGGAGGGAAAGGGAATCATTTTAGTTCAGTCTTACAGTTGGAAGCTCAGCTACAGGACATGAAGGTTTTCTACCTGCAGAGAAGCTTCGTTTCTTACAAAGTTCGGGGGAAAACAGTCTCAAAAGCTCTGGCTGGGGAATTTACAGCCTCACAGCTTTAAGAACAGTCTCTAAAGAAAGGCTTTTAAGAGAAACAGCTTTACAGCACAACCCTTGTTGAAGTTGGAGAAACGGACCTACAACTTTCGTGGGAAAAATCCTAAAGACTCCAGCTGGAAATTCTTCAGAGCCTGGCTGGTAGGTCTACTCGGGTACCCAAGAAGCAATTTGGAGCTGGGAGTAGGGCCCACACCAGCAAAGCCTAGAAAGCAGATTGTCCAGGGAGGGGTCAAAAAGGGTTTTCCTCTTAAAGAAAATAGTTCTCCAAGCAAGTTGCCTGTCCATTGTAAGTTAAGAAGCATTTGTTTGATTTGTTGAAGATCTAAGATTGTTTGTTGAAGACCTAAGCAATAATAAAGAACTTTGTTAAACTTTTAAGCTTCTAAAGACTTTGTATAGGAAAACCTATAGGGCCTCTCATCCGAGGCACCCCGGCTTCCCGCTGGGCACAAAGAGCACGTCCTGTTCAAGAGCCAATTGCTATAGGCCCAGCGTGTGACAGCACACTACCTGTATTTTTTTCTTAAAATGTATTAGCACAGAACACTTTGAAGGCTGATTAAGAGAGACGAGACAAATTCTATCATGTTAGGATGTGACATTCCCCTTGGCCTGTTGATGGATTTTATTTTGTCTATTTATTTTAGATGGCCATAGTCAATTTTACTCTTGTGGCATGTCTGAATAAAGAGAAAAATCTAAAATTTACCTTGAGATTTGTACAGCTAAACAAAATATTTACTTTCAATAAGGAATGTGCATACTCATTTCCTTTGAATGTTCACTATTACTTCTGGGTTCATATTGTACTGAGTTAGAGAATAGCAAAGTGCTGATTTTTGTCCTCTCTTTTTTTTCTTTAAGTAGATTTTGAAAGTTAATGGCACTTTTTAGGGTGAAATTTATTACTTTGTGAGGTTTTTAAAAAGAGATAATGATAGTTGGCAGTCATCTGATGGATGGGATTGCACCTATGGCAAGACTTGTGTAACATTTAAAGGGTGTATATGTTTTTGAGTTTCTTTTGTTAGTAAGTCTGCTGGTTGTGTAATCACGCTGTGTCTTAAGCACTTATTTATCAGAATAAACTATTAGTGAATGTTGGCAAAGCCAAATGTGGCAATAGAAACACTTATAATATTAAAAAGAGTTTTACCTAAGAGATTTCTACAACTCTGGGATTGTATCACCTTTGTTCCAATGATCATTCTAAGAAAAGTACATTATGCTGAAAAGGAACTCCAAGTAATCAAACAGAGATTAAAACAAAAGCTGTTTAAATGAAAACAAATAATACTAAAGGGAAAATAATAGAAATGGAAAGTCTAGAAAGCCTTTCAGATTACATAGTTATAGTGTTATTTTTCCACTGTAACTTCTTGGGCAACATTTTATGAAATCCTGGGATTTGCAATTAAGGTGGATCTGCACTGCCCTATATCTCAGATTATCTGCTTTGAACTGGATTATATGCATCTACATTGCCAGATAATTTGGGATAAGCAGATAATCTAGGTTCAGATCCTAGGATATAGGGCAATGTAGATCCAGCCTTAGATATGGGCATTTATGATTTTGAGCCAGTAATTATTGGTTTTCACTAAACTCAAAGGCAAGATTCCCCCCAGAAACTGGATATCTTGGTGCACACTTTTCCTAATCTATTCATGTTTGGAGATATCTTTTAAAAATACACATTGCACATGGATTAAAGTGTGTGCTTGCATTTTTCATCTATTCAGATAATCATGCATATTTGTGAAAAATTCAGAGAAAAAGAAGAATTTGAGGCTTGTTGTTTGTTCTGAGTGTCAGTAATAGAAAGATATACTTGTGTCTTCATTAACATTCTTATAATACACGTTAGATAAATTCATAACAAATCTAAATGAATTCTTATTTCATTTCTATCTCTATATGTTACTTTGTGTTCTGAACATCTGGAAAGAAGACTAATAAATGTGACTACAGCACTTCTGGTTGCTGACATATGAATAAGAGTCCCTCCATTCCTGATTCTTTTTTGAGAAGATCCACAGGATGTAAATATTATATTTGTCAGACTTGGATTTATTTTCAGCATGACAGTGGTATCATTTACTTTGGTAAATTCATATTCCCATTTCTTAAAGGCAATTTAAAGTTTAATTTTAAATCCAAGTATTGTAAAAAGTACAAATGATGTCCCAACGAAAACAGAAAAGCTGCACAGAGTAATAAGACAGATTTACATTTAGAATGCCAAGTAAATAAGTAGTAAGAATGCTAGATCAGAGTTTATTAAGATTAAATGTTAACAGCTAGCACATTATTTTCAATTAAAGAAAGGCTCATTTTTCTATGTTGTTAAAAGCTGGAAGTTAACTAAATGCCGCAATATACTTGCTGTATCATGTCTTACACATGCCATATGAAAGGCAACTGTAGACACTCTAGTAAAATGTATTACATGCTACTGAGGACCTAAATAAAGAATACATGAATCCTGGTTTGTCAAGACATACTGACAACAAGTAGTTCCATCTGAATTCTAAAAAGCAGTAATCCAGTCCTCTAATTACATTGTAAGGTCATACAGTACTTGTTTTGTTCTTTAAAAACTTAATGCCAATGTTAAGTTTACAGAGGAATTTAGATTTAGCAGTTTGAAAGAAAAATGTATAGTCGTATATAAAACTGTATTTATTTCAGGTTGATGAGACACTATACTATATTAAGTTTCTTTCATCTACCTTTCCCTATGACGTCTGCATTTGTAAAAAAAGCTAATTTTGTCCTAGTTGTCCTTGGCAAGTGGAGTTTTTGAAACAAGAAAAAAATTGTTGTCTGCATTTCTTTTGACAAGTTCCTACTTTGTCAGATAACACAGACTTCAAAAAAGCCATAGGTTTCACTGTCATTTCCTTTTGTAATTTTCTATGCACCGCTTATGCAGCTGAAATGTCAGTAGTAATTGTTCTTATTAGATAACTTCATTTCAGCTCACACTTATGGTGACCTGCTCATCATTTTTTCTTTGCAAGATGCATCCAGAGGTGATTTGCCATTGCCTTTAGCCAAGCGTAATCAGTGGGTTTTCATGGCTAAGTGGAAATTTTGACCTTGGTGTTGCATTGTCCTTGTCCAGTACCCAAACTTCTACAACATTGATGGGACACAAAAGTTTTTAAAAAGTTTCTCACAGATTTTTTTAAGCATTTCAAACTTGTGTTGCATATAAGACATCAGTATAATTTTGACTTCAGCATGTAGCCCTTTTAAATTTGTTTAATTGATTGTGGATTAGACATTTCCAGTAGTTACGATAGTAGACCATTTGATATAGGCACTGACATCATAAAAATAGTTTGTCCTTTATCCCTGTAACATTGCAGCTGAAGCTGTCTCTGCGCTGAGATTAAGTGTTTTGTTATTGGCTCCAAATAAACTAGAATTTTATCCATCAAGACAAAAAAATGTACATCTTTCAGAAGCATTTACTGGCAAGGATAACCTACCCTCAGCCTTTTGCAGCACAGAGCAAAGTTTAAATAAATATATAAAAAAATGAAACAATTTTTAATAAATATTTTGCTTACTAAACTCTAGTTGTGAGAGGACCACAAGAAATCTACTAGTAAGGTCATTTTACGTTAGCCACCATGTATGAATACATGGATCTTGAACCTATACGGACAGAAGACAGAACCCCAAGAGAAGTCTGTTGACACAGAGAGTTGGCAGTCATGAAAAGTTTGGATACATTCCTATTGGGTTAATTATTGACTTGGCTGTAGTCATCCTTGAGGTTAATCTAGCAGGAGTTTATGAAAACATTGATGACAACAGATTACAAGATATGGCTTAAAATGGCTTAAAAATAAGCCTCAGAAATACTACTGTGGCTCTGTTAGAGAAATCCAACTATTGTTATAAATAATTCCTAGGATAAATGCATAATTATTGGCTAGCTTTGATAAACAATAGACGTTAAGTAGTGTTGTGACCATTGACAACATTCTGAAAATGATCTGGATTCTGGACTTGAAATGAACCTTAGTGGAACTTCTTTTGAAATACACAGGTTAAAGCCCATCGGTCCCTTGAAACTTTTGTATGGATTTATTGATTGTTAGGAAAGTCATACCAACTGTTCAGTAATGTATTAATAATTGAAGGCCATCATATTATCTATAATCTTATGCTCAAATCAGTCTTTTCCTGTGTGCATATCCTTTCCCACGAAGACAAGACTGAATCTGCTAAACTCCTAAGTATTTTTCTTAAAATTCTAAAAGCAAAGAAATACGTGAACAGAAATTATTTCAACAGACATAATGATTAATATAATTCAATAGCGATTCTGTTTCTTAGAAACGTAATGCCCTTAAGTTTTCTCCATGTCTTCAAAACAATGGCTAGGATATAGGAATATATATTAGCTGAAGATCATATTCTTTGTATAGACAGACAGTAGGCGATCATACAGTTAATTTAGGTCCGCAATAACATTTATTTCCAAACCCCATCCATGAATAATCTTTGGGTTAGTTTGCTGCCCATTTAAGTTTTGATTGATGGGATGCTGCAAGACCTCCTCATAACCAATCTCACTTCGATATCAGGCAAGCTTTTCTGCTTAGTCTGTAAACAACCGTCATCTGTGGCTGCCAGGTGGAGATCAAAGCGCAAAGAAACTGATTTTTTCCTTAAGCGAGGATTGTCCTTAAAGAAAGAGCCTTCCCATTCTTTAATCACTTCATCTACTTTTTCTTTCCTGTAATGATAAATTAAGTTTTATGCTCAGGCATTAATGTAGAACATTCTTTCCACTTAGAATTTAATTACATGCTTTGACCCAACCGCACAGTGATCTATTCAGTCATATGAAACAGAGATACATATGTGTGTGTGTGTGCATTTATGTGTGTATGTGTGTGTGTGTATATATACACACACACACACATCCCCCCCACCGGGAGCATGTAGGAAAGGTATGAACTTTTTAGATTTCTTCTTTTGCAGTATAAATGGGATCAAATGTTATGTTATCAGAACTTACGCTGCACCAGTGTGCTCCCCTGTACAATGATCAATTGGTGTTCCACCTTACCAAAACAAAACAGTACCTTTGAGAAGCTTCTTTCAAGGATGTATTTGTCCCTTTTCTTGTTCTTCTGTTTACTTACTGTATTGTGCCACAAGCTTCCGCACGTTCCTTTGCAACATCCCCATTTAAGACTGCTTGCTTTGTCAGTATTTCTACTTTTTCTATCTCATGCTTCTTTAATTCGCTTGCTGTAAAACAAAAAAAAGTGGATGTGTAAGGAATTTTGCCATCAGGCATGAATCGACATTGAACAGTGTGCATTAGCCTTATTCCTGGTGCTTGACTTTGATGTTTTTCTGCCAGGAAGACAGTTTTATACATCGAGGCTGTGAAATAGTTCATCCTTACCTTGATCACAATGCTGTTTGAATACACAATGTACTTCTGCTTTTGAAGTGAAAGAACTTCTTTTAGCCCTGAGGGCTTTATTGTGGTATTTTTAAAGACTCTTTTTACCATGTAGTGTCAAGTGGGTGGATGGGAAAGTGGGAAATAGCTTTTTAAAATGTGTTTCCTATCCCTGAATTGGAATTGGTTTAGAGAGTGGGTTAAGGGCAAAACAAGCTGCTGGGTATTTCCGGCAAGCATGGTGTCATTATTCTTTTCTTACATTCACTGTATATATATTTGCATTTTCAGATAACTGAAAACTTGCAAGGCTTTTGAAATTCAGATATCCCTTTTAGAGCAAATATCCAGTGGGTGGAAAGTGGACAAAGTTCATGGTGGGAAGGGTCCTAAAGACTTTTCCCTTGACATTCCTTTCTGGCAAGCTTTAAGAATTGAAACACTCACCCAATATTTTAGTTTAAGTTCTGTAATCCTCGGAAACTTTGCAAAATCAGTTTCATTTTCAGCGCAAGCAAGTGAGGTGAAGCCAAAGAGGCCCCATTGCTCTTTAAATTAAGAAAGGACAAGCTGCCTCTCACCATGAGGAAAGCAGTTGGGCAGGACGAGCTGATAGAGCTGGGAAAGAGACTAAGAGAGAACAGAATTCTGGGAAATGTAGTTTGGGATGGTGAGAAGCCCTATGGCAGAGAATTCTGCTCAGCACCAGAAAGCCCCAATGAAGATAAGGGAGAGATCTGTCCCTCCTAGCAGCAGCCATAGTACCAATTGAATCTGTAGAGAAGACTGACTGATAATTTAATACTAGTAAGATCTGTGCAGGACTGGGAGAAAAGCCCTAAACTGAAGCTCTATGGGTTAATATGTTGTGTTGTATAGAGGCATTCAATGAAATAGCTCTTCTGCCTTTTTAAAAAATTGTCTAAACTTTAAAAAAATTCTCAAGAATCAGTAAATGTACGAATCTTTCTGAAACTTGGGGGTAATGATCCCCTGTTATCTTGTGTCATTGTATAAAAAAATCAAGGAGATAGCTCTTGTAGTTATTTTAAAAAATATGTTCTTTGTAAATTTCCCCAAGAATCCATGGATAAGTGAAACATTCTGAAACTTGATGGGCTGACAGTGGTAAATATGTTCTATAATTGTAGCAAGTTTCATGCCAATAGCTCTATCAATGAGGGAAAAAGGAGCCCCTGGATTTTTCCCATTGGCGCAAATACTTAATGAAAAGTAATAAAAAGTAGTTAACTTTTTATAGTTATGATACGGAGTCCTTCCAATTTCAGAAATACTTTAGACACAACCCCCACCCCCTCATTTCATAATGAGTATTGAAACTTTTTTTCATTGATCGCACAGGCCTAGTGTGAATATATGCAAATCTCCACATATCCCTGCACTTATTATTATTATTACTATTATTATTATGCTAAATTCCAGTGAGTCCCAGTTCAAATTAAGACTTGTCTAAATGATCTTTTAGCCTTTTATGTTATTGCCTGGCTCTAAAGAAACTCACGTGTCGGCAAGATAAATGCTATTCGGCTGGTGGTAGGCTTTTTGTCATCTTTTCTTTCTTGCCGTATAGAAAGATGAAACCTACAAAGAAAGCAAGATTCTTAAAACATAAGACTGTACAGTGATTTTGTTCATACACATATTTCTAAGTGCTCCCTTTTACACTGCCATGTAAAATTCAAAGCAGATCATCTGGATTTTTTATGGCAGTGTAAAAGGGGCCTGAGTTGAGATGTAAAATTAAAGCGTGGCTTGTTGCTTTCACAATGATTTGGCATGAGACTCTGGGTAGCATCCTTTGCATTTTGCATACCAGAAATCATCAGATGTTTCTTCTTACACTTTTCACACAGTACAGGTTTCTGTTATGTCTGACTGCCTAGTTAATAAAACATGATAAAAAGCCATTGTTTATCCTGGCATCTTTTAATGAACCATAATTGGAAAAAGCCATAGTTCCCCAGGTATCCCCAGAACTGTGGTTAGCATGGAAGATAAAATAGAAACTCTCCCTTGCAGATGACAGGAAAGAGGTGTAAACAAGTTTGAGATTTGTCCAAGCTTGTTCTTTTAATGGCCACCAGTCATTGAGCAAGAAAACATGCCTGTTGCTTTTAATTAAACTTGCCACAGTTATTTATCATTTATTTATGGGAACCTCGTGAATTTTGTATGGTTTTCTTAGGCAAGGAAGACTCAGAGGCCTGTTCTACTCTGACACATAATCCAGATTCTCAAAGCAGATAATGTTTTATATGGCAGTATAGAAGGGACCAGATATGGATTTGTCAGTCCTTTCTTCTGAAATATAGCCTTCAGCACTTGGTATTCATTGTTGTTACTATACATATTTCCTTGCTACCAATAGACATAATATGAGCAGCTTCCCAGCAAAATTACAATACTTGGTTTTGCTCCAGTACTGCTTTGGCTAACAAGTAGAATGCAATTTTAATGCTATCTTTAGTGAAAAGATAGGATAAAAATGTAATAAATATATTCTATATTGTGAGAAAGCCAGATAAAAATAAAGTATATAAAATCAATCAATAAAAGAAAGTTAACAAATGAAATAAGTAATCACAAATGCAGTGTGTCCTTAGTGCCACTGAGAACTGGATATAAAATCCAGATAATCTGATTTGACAATCTAGATTATATGGCAGTGTAGACTCATATAATCCAGTTCAAAGCAGATAATGTGGATTATCTGATCTGACAATCTGGATTATATGGCAGTGTAGACTCATATAATCCAGTTCAAAGCAGATAATGTGGATTATCTGATTTGACAATCTGGATTATATGGCAGTTTGGAAATGGCCTGAGATCCATAGATGCTCAGGTCCCATTGGAGTTTTTCCTCCACATTTGTGGTTTGATTTTTGCAGATATGATGGATTGGATCAAAAAGCTATCTCTAGGAATCTCTAGGTCCCCCAGTGTGACTCTGTGGGTCACCTTCTTCCAGTCATGCTAGAGGATCCAGACACTTGTCAAGAGAACATCTCTTTGGGAATATCTAGGTCCTCTAGTGTGATCTTTGATCAGTTGCTCTGGATAAAAAATAGTAATTCCTTAATTTGTGGTGTTTCTTTTTCAGCCCCCCCACCCCACCCCACCCCCGTGTCCCTAACCAAAGTGTATGTGGAGAGCTGATTGTATATGCAATGATATAGTTAAATCACGATCTGCTTTTGGAGTTAAGAAAATACTTTCAAGCTATGGATGACTGAATCAATGGGTGCAGAACTATGATTATATTTCAACGATGAGTACCTTTTTTCCTCCTTTTCCAGTAGGCTGCGATATCTGTCAATCTCCTGCTCGAGCTTCATTTTCGTGTTCAGTAATTTTTCATGTTGCTGGAGCTGCTTTTTGAGGCTGTGTCTCACCTCTTGTAGTTCTTTCTCCAAACTTTCAATCTCGCTTTCTAAATGCTTGAGCTGAGTCTGGTACTGCTGTTCTGAGGTTCGCAAAGCAGCTTCCAAGCCTTTCTCCTGTTCAATAGAGGTACCAGTTAAAGTTCTAAAATGTAATTTTTCAAAATACAGATGAATTTTTTAAAAATAGTTTCCTTTTAAAGAACTCATTGAAAATAATCCTAATATTGGTTTTAACATAAAGACCCCACTGAATGCAACAAAAATATATAATTCTTTACATTCTGAACAAGATGGAAAGCGCTGTTACATTTACTCAGGAGAAATTGTAGGCATTTGAGTGCCAGCACCAGTTTTCTGCATAAATTCTTAAAATGCCCTTATCTGACTGATGTAAGCAAAATATGTCAAATGCTACCTGAGGGGAAATACTTCTCGTTTTTCATTTTTGAAAAATGTTTTCAAAAATTCAAAACAACATTTGTTGTTCTTTTCAGGTATTGCCAATGCTGATTAGCAAAGGACCTGTGCATATATATTACTCTATATGTACATTATTTTTATCTCTGTTTGGAGCCCATGGATCTACAGAGTGGCTTCTAATTGCATAGGAAAGAGTAAAAGCAGAAAAAATATAAATAAGCACACATTAAAAACACTATAGGTTAAGTTTTTCTTGTCCGAAGTGCTTGGGACCAGAAGACTTTTGCATTTCTATTTTTTCAGATTTTGGAATACTTACATTAGCATATAAATGTGTATAATAAGATATCTTGGAGATGTGAATCCAGTCTAAACATGATATTAATGTCTGTTTGATGTAAACCTTATGGACATAGCCTGATGTAGAAACATTTTAATAATTTTGGTCATGAAACAAAGTTTATGCACACTGAGCCATCAAAAAGCAAGGATGTCATTATCTCAGCCACCCATGTAAACAATTTTGGATTTTGGAGTATTTCAGATTCTGAAATTTCAGAAAAGGGATTCCCAACTTGTAGTGTGTTCAAACAAGATTAGGATATGAGTTTGAGTGCACATAAGGGGTGTTTGCCAACTTACTTCAGTAGAATAGTATTCCGGGAACTGTTAGATGCTTCCAATTAAGATGAACACAAAGTTATGGCAAAACAGAAAGCATTTCTTCATAAATCAGCATGTCCTGATGTTGGCTGACGCAAATGCAAATTGCATAGTAATGTAATCAATAAAAATTGATCACACCTCATAAAAAGAGTATGTTTTCTTGTTTCCATAGCGAGTATTGATGTTAGAAAGTTTTTCAAGCAACCATCCCCTATTTTTCCAAGGTAAGATCACCTACCTTCCAGCAGGCAACTATTTCAGTTTGTGCTGTTTCTAGAAGGGAGGCAATGAGGTTTATTTGCAGTTACTGTTTTATTATATGAAGTAATAAAAGTACAGGACAAAAATGGATGGTTTCTTAAGCGATGAGTGCGATCTACTTTAGGACAACAATCCAAATGTTTTTACCTGTCAGTTTTGATTGTTAGGATTATTGCATAATGATTGCTTCAGTAATGGTATCACTCTGATAACATTGATTGTCAAAGCTTTGGTTAGTTTTGGTACAGAGAGACAGATACAATTTTGGGAGGAGATGGAACCAATGCACCTATTGCACCCAGTATTGTGGAGATCTGGGACTGTAAGCAACTAGACCACTTCCACTGCAGGGCCATATGGTTCTGCTACACTCTCTCCCATGTGAATATCTGAATCTATCATTCTTGCACCAAGCATCACATAGACTGGGGTACTGGTTTTCCAGTGTCCAAACAGGCTGAGTGTTGGTAGCCCATACTGTGGGCCAAGTCTATTAAGTTATAACCGAAACAATTGAGGCTTTTTAAATTCCAATGAAATGTGGTCTCTGCTCATTCTTGCTAAAGGAAACACCCCACACTGGCTGAGTCTGCAAATAGTCACATTTCTAATAACTCTATATCAGCCTTTGCCAGTCATAGTTGCATATTAAATTTCCTCCTTGCAGTCTTTTAAAGACTGGAAGTACTAGAACAGTTACACACTGTTCCTTGTCGTTGTATTAGGACTGCTGGTATACTTTGGACATAGCATCTAGCTGGAAAGAAAATCCTCATCGCACCTCTGCAGATGCAATAAAGCAATTTGATTGCATTTACTTACCATAGCATGGAGAGAATCAATTTCCATCTGCATTTGATACCACTGACGTCTAGCTTCATTTAATTCTGCCCTGGCTGCTTTTAGCACTTCTTCGTCTTTGCTCATTCTTTCACTAGTGGCTGCTTCTAGCTGCAAGGAAGCAGTCACAATGTGAGTTCAGTCGGCCAGAGTTAGTGAAAATTTAACTGTTGGGCATGGTTGACTTTTTCAGTTTGATAGAATAGCTGATCTTGCAACTGAAGAGATAAAATCTTGAATTCCAAATCCCAATATGTATGAAAAATGTAATTTAACTCCCTCCCCATATTTTAAAATGCTGAAATATATGCATTATTACAAGGTGGGTATGCTGTGATACATTGAGTGATAATCTCAGACCATAAGGAGACAAGCATGTATTAAACTGGATGTGGAAATCATATGCCCCTCCAGATTATATTGCACTATAGTGTGTAGATCAGGGGTCCCCAAACCAAGGCTCATGAGCTGGATACAGCCCTTCGGATCATTTAGCCAGCTGCCACCCTAAACTTTAGACACACCACCTCATCTGATGGGTGGTTTTCCTTGTCTTAGCATGCTGCTGGGACAGAGACCGCCAGAGCCCATCAAATGATGCAGGGCTACGTCCAACGGAGCTCCATTGTGCTCCATGCAGGCAGCATGCTGGCAGTGCACTAAGAGGGAGCCCTGAGGAGACGGGTTGAAGAAACTAAGGACAACATGGGAGAAAGCCGGAGACAGCTGAAAAATGTTGTGCGATGGCAGCTGAATGCTGCCTCGCAGTTTCCCCTGTTATCCCCAGGATTCTGGATCTCCATAAAGGAGCTGTTATGTGGTATCCCACAAAGTGCTATTCTATCGCCAATGCTTTTTAATATTTACATGAAACTGCTGGGAGAGATCATCTGTAGGCATGGGGTGGGGTGCTATCAGTATGCTGACGCCCAAATATATTTCTCTGTGCCTTCAAAAACAGCTTCAGCTAAGGATAGAGGTAACCATATGAGTTATTGCACTGGGTTATAGCTTGCCTCCTTAAGTCTTCTATAGAGAATTCTCTCTCTGTTTTAGACCAATGCTTGGTCAAAAAAAAAAAAGGGGGGGGGACAGTTTCACAGCTGGTGGTGCAGTGAATTGTGTGCAGGAAGGTGCTTGTTTTTCTGGATGAGACTCCATTGCTCATACTTACTGTATTTAGTATATAATTCTTTAGACAGCATGGATTACTCCTGTAGATCTCTTTTATAGTGTTGTTGTGAATCACTTGTATCTGCTGGATCATTGTTTTATTGGGGATTTTATTTGTTGGTGGATCAATATTGTATTTTATTGTTTTTATTGTGACTGCTTAGACTAAATAGGTTAGATAAATAATAATATAGTACAGCTTTCCATAGTCTTTCATATACTTGGAATATGCTGGACTACTATAGCCAATAGTGGAATATTGTATGTGCCTTTAAGTCCCCTGCCAATTTATGACAGCCTCATGTATTTCATCGGGGTTTCATAGGCAAGGAATGTATGGTCGGTAGTTTTGTTATATCTTTCCTTTTAAATATAACCTGCAGCACCTGGTATTCATTGGCAGTATCCCTTCTGAGTACAAACCAGGCTGACCACACTTAGCTTCCAATGTCAGACAGCATTTGGTACATTTAGGGTATTTATTACTATTATTTTAATCCTGGGACTGCATGACCAGGAGGAATAAGGAATCAGAAGTGTAAACTGTCTGAGGGAGAAAAGCTTAAACTGCCATGTCTCAAGCCTTCCTTGCTACCTCTCATTCTCACATAATTTATTATTTTTTAAATTTATTGTGATTTTAAATGAGGAAAAAAAGCCTAAAACACCATGCCTCAAGCCTTCCTTGGTACGTCTCATTCTCGTATAATTTATTGTTTTTTAATGTATTGTGATTTTAGAGCCAAAGAGTTCAACCTAGAGAATGACTAGCCCAAGGGCACAACAGTGAGTTTCAAATTTGACAGGAGATTTGAAGCGCTGATTCCTTGTTCCTAGTTTGACACTAATCCCTACAAAGCATTGAGCTCTCCATGACAATGTTTGAATCAGAAAGAACAAAAAAGAGATGGGTTGAAAGTGGGAATAATAACAAAATAAGATGACAGGACAGATTCCTTCCCACCCTACTTTGAGAACAGAACTTATTGGGTCATTGACTAAGAAAATAGAAGCCAAACAGTGGAGAAAATATAAAAGATTCCAAGTCCACCTGCCTGTTTATGCTCATATGATCAACTTTTCACATTCACTAGAGTTAGAGGTTCAGGATCCCCATGAAAGTGGAAAAGCGACAAATATTTAAAAAAACTGGGAGAAGAGTTTTCTAGGAATCCTGAGGTCCTCCTATGATCATCTTTTGCTGAAAGATGGCAATAAAATTGCACTTAGAAACAGACATTCCCAGGGACCAATCAAATCCACAAATAGCTAAACCTTCAAACGGGAAGGGACATATTTGACACATTCTCGCCTGCCCAAGTCAATGCATATAGCATCTAAAACTAGCCATTTTCCCCTGCTGTTTGAGATGGAAAATCCCATGGTGCCTTTCCGTTTCCCTAATAAAGAAAATAGAATAAAATTAAATTAAATGTAATAACTATATCATGCCCTGTCATATACTCTATATATATGCTGTCTAGGATACATAGCTGACTTTGTCAAGTGCTGATGATGGACCTCTACAGAATGGCAGCCAAAATTATGTTCAGTGACAACCAAAAGAACCTATGCTATCAAAATAGTGCTTAGTTTTTTTAATTCTGCAGAAGTTCAGTAAATATGTACAAGTTCAAAAAAATTATAACAAAATTTGCTATAGAGAGAGAGATAATCGGATTAGCACTGGACACATTATTCTAAACATTGCACTGTTTGTTACAGTGAGTTTATTATAGGCAATGCAGTGTGTCCCAAAAGGCAGAAAGTGTGTTTTCTAGTAAATTCTTCAGTGCTTAAGGATGGTTGATAGGCATGCCAAAGCTAGTGAATTCACAACTGCAGTTGTATTGGATTGCAAGAAACATAACTCTTGTCATAAAGTGGATTGCTGATGTTTGGAGCCAAAATTGTCATCCTAGATTAGGCAAGAAAGGTAATGCTTAGCTGTTTCAATGAGTCCCTCTGAGCCATTCATGAGTGTGTGCCAGACCGATGATATACTAGCTAAGAATGACCTAGCATATGCAACAATTCTTAGCATGGTGTAGAGTACCCTTCCCCAAGTGAATATCCTTAAAATGTTTTGGACTACAGCTCACATCGCTTCTGGCCAATGCTTATGCAGATTGGAGGTGATGTGCAAGCAGAAGGTTGGAGAATGAGCATACACTTTACGACATTTATATCTAGTCCTTTTCAGCCCAAAGGGGGACCAAAGGGGATGTAAAACTCAAGGGCTGTGGGCAAAATCCAGCCTACCATGTCATTTTATGTGATCTGTGAAACTTTCAGTGCCAATGCAACACAAGTTTGTTATACAATCTTATAATTACAAACCTCCTATTGAAGGCAACCATAAGGCTGGTTTGGCCATTGATGAAAATTAGTTTGATACCTCTCTGTAGAGCATTTCATGAACCAAAAAGTCATTTTGGTTGCATGAATTTCCTGTTCTAACATGACATAACAGGTTCACATATAGGAAATCAACTCATACATAATAATTCACAAAAGCATTTCTAAAACACAATAACAACTGGATCTTCCTGCTCTTGAAAGTAGTCCTATATGAGTTATGAGATGTATACATTCTAAATATGGGACATGCATGATATGTGGAAAAGTGTTCTGCTCTTGGACAGGACAGAATTAACCTTACGTTTGTATATCAAAGTAGCAGGAATTCTAATCTGAAAACAGGACATAAAAGCATCTGGAAAATGAAAAACATGTAGGCAAAGAATTCAGATAGTCTGAGCAAAAGAATGAGTTAGGCCCATGTGGAATGTCTCCAGCCTTTTTCAAGATGTGGCTCCCAGTTCAGGCTCAATGTATATAGTGTTAAAAGATTGACAACCTCATCACACAGGGCTTTCCTCCGTACCAAAAACCAGGCACAGCAGGTAGGGAATTTCAGTGGTCTTGATTTAAACACCATATTTAAAGAATAGGTGTGCCAGAAAAAACACTGTTTGTTTTTAAGGAGTTACGGACTGCTTCTGCTTTGTGAAAAAACTTGTCTCAACTTCTACAATTACATTTCTTGATAGGAAATTAAAACAGGGACATCTCCAAAAGCTACATATTGGTTTTTATAATAGAACTTTAAAGTTACTCCTCACATCTTGAGCATTTAATAAGATTAAATGATAGTTTGTTTTTATTTATTGACATTTCTTAGTTCCTTATTGGCTGTCCCTTAGGTGGTTAGATAATAGATTGTGTAATATATAATAGGAGGGGCATTATTAGCTTTGAAGAAAAGATGCCCCAAAGCCATGAAATGAATCACCAAAATAAACAGTTCTATTCACCAGACTCTTGGGGAGTGAGGGCAACCCTTTCAACCCAAAGGGAAAATTTGTTCTGTCCCTGCTCAAACACAGACACTTCATATATCCATTTCTCCACTGCTCATATGGTTTTTTCCACTTACTGCCTTGGATTCCATATTAAAAGTAAGTTGGGATAGTAAACAAACAACTGTCTCACGTGCATGTAAATGTTTTAGCCCTTCCCCACCTGCCTGCTGTAGAGATGAAGATCCGGCTTCTTGCACGCCTACCAGGCTTTCCTATAAGTTTAAAGCAGCACCATGTGTAGGGACGGGAGATCATGACTGGGGGGGGGGGGGGGGGAGGAATAGAAAGCAAGTTTGATGTAGTGATTTGAGCGTTGAACTACAACTTTGGAGACCAGGGTTCGATTCTCTACTTGGCCATGAAAATCCAGTGGTTGGCTTTGGGTGAGTCATACACTCCTGGTTCCAGAAAACCCTGTAATATGTTTGCCTTAGAGTTACTATTTAATTCCCTGCTTGGGTATGGAAATGCACTTAATGACCTTGGAAGAGTCACACACACAGTCGACCTCATCAGATGGCCCACTGGAATCACCACGCATTATGACAAATTTGGTGGTGCTCATTGGGGGTT